AAGAGGCTGGCTCACATTTCTTGCCTTTGAGAAAAGCTGCATGTTGCCACGAATGCCACCTGCAGGGTTAGAGGTGATGCCAACCAAGCAAGACCAGCTTTCGTCGTCGTTGGTCACATAATTGATGATCTGGTTGTTCTGCACAGCGGGTTAGAAGTGATCGGTGATGCCTAGGCGAGTCTGCATACCTCAAGCTGCTCTTGTCTGTCGAAGATTTTGCGCGGCGCAACAGCGTTCTTCGAGTCGAGGACATCCCAGTGATATACGGCCTTCGTGCTGACAAGCGCAAGAGTTGTCTGGCTGATCCACCTCCAAAACTGAATATCCTCTTGGTGGCTGTACGTTTGCAGGCGCTCCTTGGTCTCAAGGTTAAACAGCTGCAGTGTCCGGCCCTGTGCCTTGAGAGCTATGATAGGCTCAGTCAAGTGCATAATAGCGCTATCCGCGCGAATAGGTCTCCGAATGATATTGTTCGTATTCTTGAGGTCGATGATGACGGTCTCGGCGGGTGCGTTTGCTTCGTTGTTGACCTGGCGCACGCAGACGTACTTGTCGGATTCAAGTGTCTAAATGTCTTGTAAGTAATCTTGATTTGGCTTTTACTATACCCAGAAGCCACATACACAGTTTTGCCATGATATCGATGCCGGCTGTAGTCTATGTCAGCTCTGTGATCCTTGCGGGTTCCGCCGCCGCCAACTTGTCGCTAAGACAACGTACGAGAATGTTCAGGTTCGTGAGCTGCCAATTGTTAGCTTAGGCATGTCCCATAAAATACAGTTTCAATTGACAACATACCAGCGTCGGCTGTGTGACGTGCAATGGAACTTGGCGCTGGGCCATGTTTGCGACAGTCCAGCTCCGAGCTCACCGCAGTGAGAGAGCGCGCAAGAATCGGGTATAGGAAAGAAAAGAGAAGAAGTAGACCCAGATGCACAACTCCGAAAGCGCGCAATAGGAAATGAGAGACGGGTGTTTAAGGCGGGGTGGAGGCTGGGGTAGGGGATGCTTTTCGTAGAAAGGAGCTCGTGTTGTTTCCACATACGCTGGATCGCCCTATCCGTGATGATGTAAGCACCCAATCAAGTAAGTCCAAGGATAGCTGTTACCAGTGACGTCTGCCTTGCGACCCACTCACTCATCAACTGGACTTTCCAGGATCCCAGGCAACATTACCAACTGAATGGCATCCACGCGCAATTGTTTGAATGGGAAATTATGTTTCCCAATTCTCACATTCACCAGAAATTATCATAATCCCTGATTGCAGTGGTCGCAGTTGTGTATGCACGGCAATCCACGTCTGCAGGCTTAACCATGGTACGCAGCCATACAACAGCGCAGTCTCGCCAAGTGAAGGTGGCTTAAGAAAGTACACTTTTGGTCACAAGCTATACAATTACACAGGTGTAATATCTACACAGTTTAATCAAGTTCAACTACATCATAGGCGTATTTAACAATATAGTCACATAGCAATATGTGGCAGCCTGAGGTATTACCAATGGTGCGCTAGCAAGCAGCTATTTCAGGTACCTGCATCCTGGCTGCCTGGTCGATCCCGGCCCACTACTCCTAACCCAACTATTCCAAAATGTGTGAATTTGCAATTTGCAAGTTGCTGGGAATAAGAAACAAGGGTCCGACGAATATCAATGATCGTATGTGTTACGCGCAGGGCATCTTCTCAGAAGCAGAATACATTAGATTATGATTTCCTGGCGTATTTCCCCATCCTTTCCTGGTCATTAAAACATGAAATATTCGTGTACAACGCATTCGCGCTCTCTCTAACAAAAAAAACATGTAGTGAGATACACCCTGCAGCAAGTGGATGCAAGAGCTCAAGCCGGGGGTGGTCTCAAAGTCTTCGGCCTTTGACTACAAGTCTACAAGCCTACTTCTTGAAATTTAGATTCTCGACTCGAGACTCCCTTTCTCGCGTCTTCCGTATCAGAAATGAAAGCTGGTGGTGGGGCTAGGTTTTCGTCGAAGTGGTCTCTTGCCTCTTCAAAGCTTTCTCCACCAGATGTTACGGTACCTCCACTGGCGACTCTCTCAGTTAGCCTACCTCTAGCCGGTCTGAACTCATCCCTATTACTGGAAATAGATGAGACATCCGAATGAAGGTCTTTATCGACAGGATCAACATGTGGGACGTATGCTGGTATTGCATGGACAGGGTTCACTGGCTCCACTACTTCATCAGAGACGTGACCTTCTATTGAATCACGTTTTGGCTGGATAGCATTCTCGGAAGAAGGGGGCTGTGAGGTGGAATTTTGAAGACTTGCACCACCAATAAAGCCCGTCTCCATCTCCTTCGCGTCATCGTCGACCTCATTGGCAGGTGAATGCTTTGAGCGGCGCTTCAGCTTGGTCAGAAGTGATTTTAGCCCTTTTGGAGATTCTTGCGAATTGGGCGATGTTGGATTAGCAGATTCATGTGCGGGTGTAGGCTGGGCGTTAGTGGAAAGACCTGGGTCCTGGTACAGGTCATCATTGTCGTACGAAGCGCGGGCACCCTCTGTTCGTGGTGCATCCCTTGACTTGCGACGTTCCTCTTTGGCCATACGCTTCTCTTCTGCTTTTCTTGCCTTTTCTGCTTCTTTTTCTTGTTTTGCTGCCAACTTCTCTTCAGCCGCTCGCGCTTTAGCAGCCCTTTTTTCTTCATCTGCAGCACATTAGCGGTGTGGTTGGACATATGAGTAAGAATACTAACCTCTGCCCTGCTTCTCTTCGGCTTTGATCTCATCGGCTCGTTCCTTCTCGATTCTGATACGACGCTTCTCTTGCTCCGCATCCATTCGTCGTTCCTCTTCTTCAGCTCTGCGCTTCTCGTCTTCGGCTAGACGTTTTTCAGTCTTCTCAGTAATCTCGTTGAGAGTCGGCTGAATTCTTGCCTGGGCAATGGCGTCGATTTCTCCTTGGTCCATCCACTTACCATTGCCAATGTGGACTCTGCCGTGGTTCTCCATCCGAGCTTCTGAATTGGCAACGGCACGCTGTCGCGCCTTCTCATCCCAATCATCCACCATTGTAGATGACATCCTGCCAGTTTCGTCAAAGATCTTTTTATCCATACCCTGCATTTGTGCCTGAACTTTACGCTGTGCAGCGGCAAGGAGTAGTTTGCGGTCGTTTTCGCGCTTCTTGGCATCAACGTCAGCTAATTGCTTGTTGAACTGCTCCATCTGTGAGCGAATGCGCCTTGAACGGAAATCGTCTTCGTCAGAGTCCGAGGTCTCAGGAGGCGCAGTCTCTGAGGCACTATGTGCACGGTTGCGTCCACGGCGCAGGGAGAGCTTGTTGCGAGTCGGTTGATCATATCCGTAGTAACTTCGATAGGCTGCATTCTCGTCGTATCCGATCTTTGCCAGTCTCTCGTGTGCTAACTTCTGAGCGGCCTCCTGAATACCGATATAGCGCATAGCCTGTTGCTTGATATCTCCGTCGCCGGTGACCAGCTGCTGGCTCTGCGCCGCAGACGCTCCCGTACGGGCAGCAGATGGCCCAAGTTCGCTTTCTGGACGTTGCTGCTGCTGCACGTCGTAAATCTTCTTCGCCATAGAGATAGCTGAAGCACGAAGAGCATCATTGTGCTTCTTTTCATCCGTCTCGATTGCAACAGGTGGAGCACTTCCGTACATGTCTCGTGATATACTCTTTGCATGCTGAATTCGCGCTGCCTCCATGGCACTATTTTGCAGACGGTTGGACTCAACAGGACTCGCAGTAGTGGTTTGGGGTTTGGTACGTGTGGAAGCGCTGTGAGCCAATGTCGCCGCACCCAGCGCATTCCTGGCTGAGTTTTCAGAGTCAGGGTACAGGGGCGCAGGTTGTGGGTTTGATCGGGCACGCTGTCGTCTTGAGGCAGAGTGGGCATCGGTAGCGGCAGTGAAAGCATTCTTCCTGCCCTGATCAGTGTATCCGTAGTCGACCTCCGGACCAAGTCCCTTCTTTTTCATGGCGAGTACTGCTGCGGAATGACCTTCTGCACTGGCCTCTGGTTGCCACAGGTTAAGCTTTCTACCATCTTTGTGGGCGAGTAAAGCTGCCTTTGAGCCTGCCGCGCTAGCTTCTGGCTGCCACAGAGGCGCCATTTTGTATCCGTTTGCGAGCAAGGCAGCCTTGCCAGCGACCGAAGACTGTTCTGGCTTCCACCACTCTGGACTCTTTTTGTTCTGGTTAGCTAGTAGAGCAGCTGCTCCTGCAGAGGATTTGGCGTCAATCCCAACAATGGGATAGCTGGGGAGATCTTGGGCCTTTGCGTATTTGAGACTGGCAGCAGCGCCTGGGAAATTCAATCAGAACATGATGTAATCGTAGCATGGGGCACTCACCTGCAGAAGACAGCTTGCCGTCGGATCCGAGCGGGTTCATGAAGCGGGACTCGTTTGCCTTGGCCGGGCTAGTTGGGTTGTGTGAATACAGTGCAGCGGCTGACGCCTGGTTCTGTAGAGCATTGTTGTTTGTATGATGGGCCGACGGATCAGGGCAACGCATGGCCATGTCGGCAGATGGTGGAAGTGGAGCCGCATCTTCGGTGCTTTTTAAGGGTCTGGCGTCCGAAGCGGGCGCCGCCATGCTAGAGACGGAAGCTGTTGCTGCTGCCATTGTGAAGGTGCGTGTCGTGATGGCAAACAGTCAAGACAGCATGGTGGCGTAAGATATATCTCGCGACAACACGGAACCTGCGCAAGCGCGGGCACCAGACACAGCCTGTGGCGCCCTCACATGGCTGGATGACGATGGAGACGGGCATGATGTCATAGTGGTTGTGGAGGATCGCCGTGGGCGGGCGTTCCGCAGGAGAAGCCACAGGCGCCTTGCCGCTCTGAGCCTGGTGATTATGTCTCTTGGGCTGGAAACAGGCCACGGCCTTGCCAAACAGGCCAAGTGACGGCTCTTCTCAGCGATTTGCTTCCAGGGACAAAGGATCCTGTCCATCCTATCCTTGTGCACATCTGACATGCCTTTGGCCCCGCATGCTCTTATTGCCAAATGCATGTACATGGACGAACTACTACAAGCATTGCGCAACCCATTTCAGAGCCATGTGTGACATATGACGGGGCTAGTGTGGCCTTTCGCTACGTCACCCCGGTTCTAAACTTCAAGATACAAAGTTGCCACTACTCCTTACTAGCTACCGAGCCTAACCATGCCAGAACTACACAGCCCGCTCCAGAGTCTGTCGAATTTCCGCGACGTCGGCCGGTTTTGCAACGACAGCATTGGCACAAGGCACGCCACGGACACCCTGCTGGCATTGCAACACAGCTGATCACAATCATAGTAACCTCAAACCCGGCTTGCTGTTTCGAAGCGCGCGACCTGGTATGTCCTTCCCGCATGTACTGTATCTGGCATTCAGCTGACAGGGAAAGACGAGGCTTCTTTCCAAGACAGGCAAAGACTTCTCAAGGAATTCAATGTCAAATCAATAATCGACCTGCGTACAAAAACGGAACACATTGAGCAGGCGCAGAAGCATGGGGCGAGGATCAAAGCGTCGGCTGCCGTGCCCCAGAGCAACGCCGAGGTGACAGAACCGCTCGAGATAGCCGGCATCACCTACCACCAAATCAACTTCAATGGATCGGCCTTTTCACGCATGCTTGTTTCCAAGTTGACCTGGATGGAGTTCTTTAGGCTGATTGGGCTCATGGTCTTTGGCTATCGCACAGATGCCATCAAAATCCTCGCTCCTCATATGGAGGAAATGGGGCTTGTTGGGCTAGCTACGCAATCCTTGGACGTTTGCACACACGAAGTCGCACAAGTTTTCAATGTGCTTGCCAAGGACGAGAGCTGGCCACTGCTCGTGCATTGTACTCAGGTATCTGCTGATTCTCTCGTCGTTGCAACACATTACTGATCCGCCTCAGGGAAAGGACCGAACGGGCCTTGTGGTGATGCTCATTCTTCTGCTCTTGAAAATCGACTTGGGCACTGTCGACAAAGACTACCAGCTTTCCGAGTCAGAGCTTGCATCTGAGATGGAGGAAAGATTGCGGGAGATAAGGTCCATTGGCTTGTCCAGACAATTTGCCCTATGTCCCCCAGACTTTGTGCCAAAAGTGAATGCTCATATATTGGAGAGGTATGGCAGTGTCGAGCAGTACCTGGAGAAAGCCGGCGTGAGCAAGGAGCAGATGGACTTTGTCAAGCAGAAGCTATTGGTAAAGGTGTCCTGAGCGCTCTCTGCTCTCCACCAATGGGCTTGGCGGGTTCTGGCGTATGCTCTTATCTGTTAGACACATGGTATTAGTGCCGAGCACATGCACCTGTTCGAGAGCAGCCTGACCACCTGTTGCCTCATGCACCGCAGTGCACACCCCTTATGGGAATACTTTATGGGCCTAGTGAAGGATACAATGTACCGGTGTGAGTGCATAGTGCTGTCGGTGTGCTGTCGAATATGTGTGGAGCTGTCGTCTCCATGGCCTGCAGGGGAAGTCGTAACCCCAGCGCCGACTCGCTTAAAACCACCTAGTGTAGGTTTCACCGCCGTTAAAAGGGTCCAGTTCCCAACACGTCTGCTTTGAATCTTGCAAAATTGCTGAGCATCGCGCAAGATGAGCAATACTTCCGAGGACAACTTTGAGTGGGTTGAGACGCCCCCGGCGCCCTCGCCCACTACGCCCCCGTTCGACTGCGGCGTGAAGACAACTTCGGTAAGTCTCCCACCCCTCTCCAGACAACAACCCCGCCAGCCATTGAGCGACGATGTGATGAGCTACCGGGCTGACGCTTGCCAATCAATAGTATCCGACCATTGCAAATGCCCCATGCCCCGCAGAAGGCTCCGGTCGCGAATCGTTCAACAACTATGTCCTCATCTCGCTGCTCGTCGGCGTCCCCGCCTACATCACATGGAGCTGGGGCATGGGCTTCAAGACATGGCTTTTCCTTGCCCTTCTCTTGTGCCTTCCCATTCTAGGTCCCTTCTGGTGGCTCACGTCGGAATTCGCTCCCCGCAAGAACGAAAAGGCCAAACTTCCCGGCAAGCCCATCGAGCACTACCTCAAGTTCAACAAGGCCGAGGACCGCGATGCCTACTACGGCAAGAAGCAGATCCCTATCGAGACGTTCCAGGAAAAGTACTTTGACGGTGAGGTTGAGCTCAATGGCGATATGCTCGAGATCCTCGAATGGCGCCATGACTGGTCCAAACCCCGCTTCACCCTTGGATTGATCAAGCACTTCCTCTTCGGCATGATCCCAGAAATGATTGTCCACTCCAAGTCCCAGGGTAAGCATGCCGTACATCCCTAATCCCCGCATATGCTGACCCCGCACCAGACGAAGAACAGGTCCGCGACCACTATGACCGCGGTGACGATTTCTACGGCTGGTTCCTCGGTCCTCGCATGATTTACACCTCTGGTATAATCTCTGATATCAACACGGAAGAGAGCTTGGAGCAACTACAGGACAACAAGATGGCTGTCGTCTGTGAAAAGATTGACCTGCAGCCTGGCGAGAAGATGCTCGACATTGGCTGCGGATGGGGTACACTTACACGATTCGCCTCTGTCAACTATGGCGCAAAGGTCACTGGTATTACTCTTGGTCGCAACCAGACTGCTTGGGGCAACAACGGTCTCAGGAAAGCTGGTATCGAGGCTGAGCAGTCCAACATTCTCTGCATGGACTACCGCGAAATCCCCGTTCCTTCTGGTGGCTACAACAAGATCACTTGTCTTGAGATGGCTGAGCACGTTGGTGTCCGTCACTTGAGTGCTTTCTTCCGTCAGGTCTACGATATGCTTGAAGACGATGGTGTCTTCTTCCTTCAAATCGCTGGTCTGCGTAAGGCATGGCAATTCGAGGACTTTACCTGGGGTCTTTTCATGAACAAGTACGTCTTCCCTGGTGCCGACGCGTCTACTCCTCTTGGTTTTGTCGTCGACACCCTCGAGGCTGCTGGTTTTGAAGTCAAGATGGTAGACACCATTGGTGTGCACTACTCTGCTACTCTCTGGAGGTGGTACCGTAACTGGCTCGCCAACAAGGACAAGGTTGTTGCCAAGTATGGCATTCGCTGGTTCAAGGTAATTTTCTCATGCTCTGAAATGTCTTCTAGAAGCTAATAATTGTCTAGATCTGGGAGTACTTCCTCGCCTACTCCACCATCACCTCCCGCCAGGGTAGTGCCACCTGCTTCCAAATCACCTGTGTTAAGAACCTCAACGCTGTCCACCGTATCGACGGTATCAAGACTCAGTTCAGTCTCTCTGGTGCTCTCGCTGCTAGCAAGGCGAAGCTTTCTAAGGCGCAGTAAACGGGTTTTACTCTAGCCTTATTGTTTTAATACACTCTACTCTAGGCTCTTGATCGAGTATGGAAGTGGGAGAAGAGTCTGACACGATAGATGCAATCATGAGGTGGAGAAGATGGCTAGCAAAAGATGCTGGTCTGGTGAAGATCTTGGAATGACTATATTGAAAGGCTACCTCTGGTTAAACGAAAGCTTTTGATGCTACATAGTCTCTGTAGACTAATAATATATTGATAACCAAGAGACATTGCGTGTATACTCTAAGCATTCAAACATCGCTTTCTACAGCCCAATAGTGGCAAGATGAAGTTGACACAGTGTCCTACTCTAGTCTTGACCTGTTGTATGGGGTTGACCTTTACCTCACATGGTTCAAATCCTACGACCCACTTGTTTAACGTTCTCCACACTGGATATCGGCGAACTGCCTTGCCCCACGATGCAATCCCAACCCAATCCGGACGGCCAAAAAATCACATTTCCATGACCCAAAAAAATACCCCAATCCCACACTTGGAAAAAAAAGAACGGAATTCCCCACCTGTCCAATCTTTACCACATCTTTATATCACAACCAAATCCAAAGCCCACCATCAACCAGCCAATCAGAGCTTAGTACCCAACGGTGGTATGGTGTACGTTCTACCCTCATCATCCCATCTACAACACAATCAAGACTAATATCCCTACCAGCTAGTGGTATGACGTCGCGTTGTGGCTGGCGGACACCATTAAAAGTTGTCCTGATCCAGATCCGCGCCAGCCTGGGTTCGAGTACGTTGTTCTTCTTCCACCGCATCGTCAGATGTACTGAGACATTGTTGATCTAACAAATTGTCTATAGTTCCCAGTACCGCCAAGTTTGCGACATTTCTTTTTTTTCTCTTTTTTTTTGTGCTTGGGGAGAGTTTGAGAGCGAGAGGGGTTTTGGATCTTGAGACAATGGGTTATTTGTTTCAATGAAGTATTTTCTTTTCTCTCCATCTTGGTTCCTTTTCTCTCTTGTCAAGGTTTACGGATATCTTAATTTTTTTTCCTCTCCACCCACCCCGACAGATTGAAAGTGCTTGGATGAAACATCTAAGCACTATATCACTATTTCAAAAGACGAAGTGATAAATGCTTTCAAACGGCCTACATAGGACCAATGTGTTTATTCCATACAAACGCCTCCCTTCCCCCCTCCCAATAGACATGGCTGGAGAGGAGAATAATGCGTAATAAGCTACTTTGCAGTGCGATTGCTAAACAAGACTTTTTTTTGGTGAATCGTCATCGTCCTTTGTCTTTTCTTCCTTCAACATTCTTCCTTGTACAAACCATCTAAAAGCTGTATCATTTCTTTCGTACACTTTCGTCAAGAACAGCTAGTCTCCTGCCTATACTTCCGAAGCAGACACAGCTGCAGAATAACACGCTGCCAACCCATGTCACTACAGCCAGTTCCTCATAGCTAATCATGCCAAAGAACAGTGCCTGTGCCATGGGCGCTCCGTTGTTCAACCCTGCTTTTACTTGTGGATTCCTTGTCGTCGTGGATGGCAGGTGAGTGGCATTCACGGATGCCGGTAGAAACGGAGAAGGCAAGACATCGGGGTTGGAGAGGAAGATGAGCGAGGTGAGGATAGACGTTACGGTAAGCGAGACGGAGAGTCCTGGTTTCGAGCGGTCGAGTATGTACCACAAAGCGGGGTTTACGAGAGCGAGCGTGAGGGTAAGTTGGAGGGTGGATTGCCACGGGAGGCGCCGCTGGTAAGTTTTGTATTAGCTTTTGAAAGGGATCAGGGGAAGGGGGGGGGATCCCGAAAAAAACAGATTTTGGGCTGTAGAAAACTTACAATGGCGAATGCGATACCGATGAAAGCCGCGACGCTTCTTACAACGTCGTTGACTTGCTCACTGATGGGAGGGTCATGCTCCTCGGCTTCCTTGCCTTCTGGTTGGATCTCGCTCTCGCTACTCTGTGCGTTCCACAAGAGATCAACATATGGGAGTAGACTGCCCAGCGCGACGCCAAACAGTCCCCAGGTCGCCAAGTAGGCACGCCCCTTTTGGTCGACGCCCTCAACGTGTATGGCAGCCAACTGCTTCGTCTCGTGGATGTGCGAGACGATAACACCGTACATGACGCCGAACACATAAAGCGCCGTGAATTTACCCGCGATGACAAGGTACTTCCACGTGCCCTGTCGTGCCTGCTTGATCGAATGACTCCTTTTCCTCGCGTCAGGCGGATACATGGCTGACCCATTCCTGGCGCGGTTGTACAGGCTCACTCCCCCATCGGGGCTACCTATGCCGGTTGCCCTGGCCTGAGAGTCTGGGAATATGTGTTTTGGTGTCTCTGCGCCTGTCCCCCAAGGCGTCTCTATCGAGCTCTGGTCCCCCGACTCATCGTAGATGCCAGACAGCGTGCTGCTCGTGAGGTTCAGGAGACTCGGGTTCCGCGGAGGCAGGCCGCGCTCCTGCTCTTCCGAATCATCGTTGCGAGAACTGTAGTATGTTCGAAGTAGGCGCGCGTTCAATTGTGCGACAAAGTCACTCGCTCGACGGTTCTCTGTTGCGCTCGGGGGCGTGGATTGCGTAAAGTCGTGCGTGGGTGAGTCTGCAGAATCGCTACGTTCAAAGGTTCGCCGCGGGATAGGGCAGTGGATATGCAACGGAGGTTGTGCCGCATGTACGTTCGAAGGGTCTCCTCCCATTGCTACTGCGGCCCAGTGCCGAACCGATCAGGGTCCCGCAAAGATTCTGGGTTAAATGTGTACGCTTGCCAGTTATAGGCTTGATTGCGACCACAAAAAAAGTCAAAGATTATATGGGAAAAGCGAGCGCAAGAAAGAAGAATAAAAAAGTAAAATACACAGCACTGGTGAAGTTCTGGCGTGATGCGACTGTCGCAGTGTTTTGGCTGGGATGTTAATAGGACCTAAAGTCGTGTCAGTGCACGTGAATCTGACCTTAAGCACCCGCTTAGACTCGTGGTCAGCACGGTCATTCCAGCCTTGCAAACTTACCGCGTATAGGCAACCCAACTGATGACTGAAGCGTGCAAGTGACTGATGTAGCGTAGTGGGCGAGGAGGTGGTGATGTAGGCGCCACTGGGCCTTGCCCTCACATGTGTCACCGGAGTGCTATCATGTGAAGATCGGCCCACGGTTCCGCTTATTGCTCCGCTGTCATCCGCTTTCTCAACAATTCTAGTGGATCGGGCATGTTTCATTATGTTTGGCCAATTCTGTTGGACATTTTGTACTGATACACCAGACCTTCCGTGTTAGGGATGCTACACCTCTCCCCCCCTGCCTGTCCGACGCTGCCCAAGGCATAGCTACAAACAAAAACGCTTTTGGTGTCTATCCCCAAGTGCAACCGACTCCAGACATAAATGCTCAGAACTATGATGCACATGTTATTGTGGCCGTCGTATCGTTCGTGTCCACGTCGTCCCATCGTCAAATGTGTAATATAAGCTCCCCAGGAGCTACCCCGCTACGCCTCCCCTCTCAATCGACGATGGGTTGAAGGATGTTACCACTGCAAGATCGTCAGCATGCATATGTCGTTGGGAATGCAGTTAAACTTACGCCACGATGTTGGCCCATCCAATGAGACGCCAGTGCTTCTCGATACGTCTGGACAAGGCCACCTTTTCGCCAATCTCTGTGCATGCGGGTGAGGTCAGGGAAAGACGTGCAGCGTCAGCCTTTACAGCGACAACCTTGGCACCCGTAGCGGTGGAACCAATGTTAACCATCTAGAGGAAAATGTGAGCCTTTTTAATAAGTCTGAACACGTGCTTTGTGCTTACGAGGACTTCATTCTTCGCAAGCTTGGCAACCTTGGCCTGCTTGCCGTCTGCGGTCTTTACTCCGAGCAATCTTCGGAGGAGGAAGTAGTTGACTTCAAGCTCAGTGTAAATATTGGGAAGGTGGCCACGGAGACCAAGGACGAAACCGACAAGACGATCCGCACGACACAGGGTAGGGTCTACACGTGTACCGACACCTGACATGTGTTAGTCTGGCAATCAGCACTGCGGCAACATGGGGATACATACCAATCAAACCACCAGGAACAGCAAACTTCAGGTCATTGTGCTCAGCAAACAAGGACACGACTCTTGAGAAGATGGGCTTGCACTGAATCTTTCCGGCGCTGTCCTTGGACACAATACCAGGCCTAATCTCAATCTCGTCACCAAGCTTCAGCACACCAGTCAAGATACTGCCACCAGCAACACCGCCCTTCAGCTCATCAATCTCAGCACCAGGCTTGTTGACGTCGAATGATCGAATGACAATCATGTGTGGCTTTGCGGAGAAGTCTCGGACTGGGACTGGGATCTTGCTGATGAGTTGCTCGTTGATGGCATCAATGTTGAACTTCAATTGCGCCGAAATGGGAACAATGGGTGAGCCGTCGGCAACTGTTCCTCGGATAAACTTCAGAATGGACTCGTAGTGGGCGGCAGCGCTGTCCTCCCGCATCAGATCGACCTTGTTCTGAAGGATGATGATGTGGTTGAGCTTCATGATCTCAATAGCAGCAAGATGCTCACTTGTCTGCGGTTGCGGGCAAGATTCGTTTCCGGCAATCAGCAGCAGTGCGGCGTCCATGACGGCGGCGCCAGACAACATCGTGCTCATGAGAATGTCGTGACCGGGGCAATCGACGAACGAGACGTGGCGCTTCAATCGGTATCGTCCTCCGCATCCTTCACGCTCGCAAGGCGGGTCGACCTCCTTCTCGCTCTTGTATGATCGGTAGCATGTGGGGCGCGGGCACTCGGAGTTGTCACACTGGTAGATCTTCGCGTTTGCGTAACCGAGCTTGATGGTGATATTCCTCTCGAGTTCGTTCTTGAAGCGGACAGTCTGCACACCGGAAATGGCTTTTACCACTGTACTCTTTCCGTGAGCGACGTGACCAATTGTTCCAATGTTGATAGTAGCCTGGCGGGAAATGATTTCGGGTGACAAAGGGGTCAGCGTTGAGACGTCGAGGGTGCTTGGGTCTGGTTGTTCGCTTGTGCGCATTAGCCGTGATGCTGATATATGGACTGCATGTTTTTTTTGGCAAACCTACGGCAATTCTGGACGCTCTACAACGGGCGCTGGCTCCCGGCCCTTTTTGAGCGCAGACTTTGGCTTTGTCTCCTCAACCTCCTCGTGCTCAGATACGCTCTTGTCATCGCGGAAATCGTTGTCAGATTCGGACTCCATACTGGGCAATCTGTGTGTTTTCTTTGTTGCTTCTCGGCAGGGAAGAGGCAGGACTATCTAAGGGGCCGGATGCGAGGGCGTCAAGATGTTGGACAGATGGTTGCAGTGGAGACGGGCGGCGGCCAACTTTCGACTTCAAATCCCACACAAAGTGACTCAAACCCAGTACAGCCTCGAGTGGTGGCGGGGCAGTGCCAAGCGTCTAGCATCGGGGAAAGGTTATGCCGGAGTGTCCGACACAAAACTTCAGCTGCGCCCGTCCCCGGCTTCTCTTCTCCATTGAACAACGCAAAAAATTTGCACACTCACGAAAAGCATTTTCATTGGAGAGACCCGTCGTCTGCGGACGGTGTGAGGTTTCCATGAGAACGAAAACCGTCTGTGAAGTGGAGAGGAATACAGTGGCTGATCTTGGGTGCGGTTTCTCCCTGCTTTTGCAGTGGGAGAGAGCGCAATGATCGGTCGTACATTACTATGTGAAGACGTACACGTGATTAATGGACGTGTTTACGATGCGGTTACGGCGTTATATGCTATTGCTATGCGACTTGTCTTACTGTGCTTGCGGCCATGTACACGTTTTTGTGCTGATCGCACGGCGTCTACTTGTTTGCACAACTGGCGCCAAAGACCGATCTGGCATCGGGACACATGTTGCACAACCTGTGAATACCATGGGCAATCATGCCAAAGTCTATGAAGCATGGCATGCTCTCTCTCCTTACCCCTAGACCATCCAAAATTTGAGTGGGTCCTCCTGGGTTGAGGGGGCTAGTGGAAGTCCTGTCCCCATTTGGATGCAACGCAACGCGAGAGCCATCAATCGGCCGAGCATCCTCACGCAACGCAAGGAGACGCTTTTCGGTGACTATCCCAAGACTAAAATGTACTCTACAAGGCAACTCATACGAAACAAGTAGTCTACACACTAGGCAATGATAAGAAACCGCAATCGCAACGCCATGAAACAAAAGACTATGTCAAGACTACCATCTTCCATCACCAACATACCAACTACTCCCTTACTACAAGGTAAGTTACTACTTGCACATCGAATCCCACCAAACACCATTACCTACTTACTCCTCACCCCACGCAGCGATCAAACACCCCCACCCGCACCTCAAACACACCTAATCAAGCCTCCCTCGTATTCCCACCCAAACAATCCAGTACCAAAGTAAGCGGCACTAATGCCAAATTTCCACCAAACCATCGGCAACGCCTCTCCCGTACCGCAGCCAAGAAGCAGCCCGCCGTTTAATCTCAACGTCTTTTTTTTTCCTTCCCTGGTGGCTAAGTTAGGCTTAATGACTCTTTCCAGCTTTACGCCACCAAAGATATAAACTCTCTTCTTTCGAACCCACACACACAGTTTGGGTCCCCGCTAGGCTTTATTAGTAGTAAGCTTCTTCTTTTTTTTTCACTCCGCATTGTCTCCTGCATGTTGTGACGCAAAAGAAAGAAAAAAAAAGAGAGGGGGTTCCGAAGAGTTCCATGTACGTGCTACTACTATTGGGAAATTCGATAACGAGACTATGCATGCTTATATATATGCAGGAAAAAGGGTTGGGAGCAACAACGAAAAGCAAGCAAAAGAAATAAGAGTTCAAAACGAGGTAAGGGAGGAGGAAAACAGAATAATGGCAAATAAAGGCGATGTGATTTAGTAGTAATAATAGGTTATGTTGTTTTACTAGATAGATAGCCCTTTGCTTAACTCGTTTTCCTCCACACCTCTCCTCTATATACCAAAAAGCGCGCAGGAGACTATGTTTTATCCAGCTCAACTACACTTCCTATTCTCTAGCATTTATGTGTGTGTGTGTGTGTGTCTGATTTCGATTTAACAATAACAAATAAAACAATAAGTATATACAAAGTAGGTTGTGAACATAGTAGTTGATTTGCCCCTCATCTTTCTCTCTTCCTTCTTCTTGAGGTAGTGACAATGATGATGATGATGATGGTGGTGCCAGAAAAAGGGAAACAAAAGAAAACCCAGAACGCCTTCTATGCAAAGAAGAAGAACAAAAGAAAATATAAAAGAAGAAAAAAGAGGGCGGGTTGGATGATACGAAAGAAATGAAAGGGGGTGATGTCAAATGCTGTGTCGAGCTTTCAAACAAACTTTCAAAGTGTTCGCGCTGCGTAAAGTTCGTATATCATCGTCTTTTCTGCCTTTTTTTCTCTCTCTCTTTCTTTCTTTCTCCGTTTCCCATCTTCTCCTTCTTCTTTCTGCCCCCCCCCAAGAGCGGTCTCGTATTATCCAAAATAAGAAGCGCCGATTAAACCTCCCTCGCCCAAGCTCACTATACACAAAACTGACTAAGTATTAATACTTTGAACTGCCCACCCACCATCTCTTGTTCTTGTGAGCGAGTGTGTTATACAAGGAGTATGTGTGTGTATGTTTATATGCAGCCCGAAAAAAATAATAAAATGTACTATTATGGGACATTCTACTACGACGTCTTGCCCGCTTCGTACACGCGAGCCATGAACTCGTCTTCGTCGAGCTCAACCTTCTTGGCCTTGAGGGTACGCGCTACCTGCGCGGCATCGCCCTCCATGCAACTACCTTCTAATATGCACAGAATGGCTACGGCGGCTCGGGGAAGGTTCTTGTCGCCTTCGATTGTGTAAATGTCCATGATGCGTGCGGCGTGCTCGACTTCGAGGCGTCCGCAGAATAATGAGCCAAGGGCGTGGAAGAGGTAATCCCGGGGCTCGACACGTAATGTGTCTAATCGTTGGGCAAGGCTTGGTGCTTTCTTCGATAGCACGTGGAGAGTGGTCGTGTATGCGGCGTGGATGGCATTTTGGTCGTGGACGAGGAACGATAGAGGCAATGGGCGATTAAGCAAGTTGGACAGTGCGATAAAGGCTTGCGGAGCTGAGAGGTTAAGCAGGAGCAATGCGGCAATGTGATGAATGTCGAAGCTCGAATGTGGGATATCTGGCCGATACATGGAATAAGCCAAACACACATTGACCAGATCTTTGTGGAGCGGCTGCTCGTCGTCATTCTCCGGTGATGTTTGTGCTGCAAACATCTTGAGCTTGGGAAAGACCTTGTGCGTGCTCTGGATAATGTAAAGGTAACGGCCTCCGAGCGCTTCGTGGCCGTGTGCTTTTACTTCTGCCTGTGCCTTTTCCAACGCAATGTTGTACGTCAGCTCGGTGACTTCAAGGTCGTTGCCAATGGCCTTTTGCCAAACTTGGCCCCGTAGCCGTGGTGGAATGCCGTTCCACCACATTTTTCGATGTGTTGCCCGAAGCTCCGGATTCGTCATTTCGGTAGCCCAGTTTGGAAGTAATAAGCTGGACCAGTACTCCGCCTTGATGCGACTGGCTTTTTCGCGGGCGAGGGCCTCTTCTTGGGCACGTTTAGCCTCAAGGCGTTCTAAGTCGGTTAGTCAGTCTTTCAACAAACTGCATGAGAAGTACTGCTACTTACCGGCTTCCTCGATCCGAGCCAACATGCGCTGGTACTCCTTGAGGTGCTTCTTTTCTTCCTTGGGGTCCTTTGGGGGGAGCCAGGATGGCCGTGTCCGAGATAGGTATTTTTGCTTCTCAACGGATGGCTGGAAAGGATCGATGAGTGGATCACTCTTCCGCACCGGTGGGAGTGTCGGCTTCTTGGTTTTTGGTACTGTCTGGCTCATAGATGCTGACCTTGCGAGCCCAGGCTGCTGTCTCGTGATTTCCTGTTTCCGCTCATATTCGGATTGGAATTCCTCTAGTGCTTCTGTAAGCTTCCTGGCGTCTGCGTCCAACGCAGTATATGTGTCTGCCCATGTGGTTTGTGGTGTCGGTGATTTCGGGGATACGCCTCTGCTAGAGACATTTGGTGATGGGTCTCTGTGGTGTACCGAAGGCGCCGGAGATGGCTTTGCTGAAGACTCCGCAGTGCCGGGAAGTGGTGATGTCTGGGGGGTGTTCTCACTCGTCCAGGGTACCGGGGATCGCTCTTGTGTGGGACGCGGTGATATAGGAATATTCCAGATGACAGCATCTTCGGGAACTTCATCGTCCTCATCATCACATTCCGCCTCTCTTTCCTTGACCGTCTTTCGTTTTGAGTCTTGCCAAGACTGTCTTCTGGAAGCTAAACTCGGAGATGGCAAGACCTCGTTTCGAGAACTTCTTCGGGAAAGTGTGCGTGATCCCGAAAGAGATTTGTGGGTATTTGATGGGGAAGGCGATCGTGAGGAGCGCTGTGGCGCGGCAAGACCCAGAGTGCTGAGCGAGGGAGCCGATGGAGAAGTCAAGGCTCTTCTTGCCGTCTTGCCAGGTGCCGACAGCTGTGTCTGCTGCCTTTGTACGGCATGGCTGACAGGGCCCACTAGACTGGGATACTTTGGTTTGGCTGTGCCGGTGAGGTCGCGAAACGAGTGTTGGGCGGGATGTGAGAGTGTCCTAGCCGAGGCAGGGGCTCGCGGAGCTTCGTAGACAAGGCGGTTGGACGGGCTTGTGGGCATGGGAAAGGAGGTGGGCCCGCCCGATGCCTCGTCGAGGTTGATGTCTTCAAAGTGGGAGAGGTTTTCGGTGGTGCCCATGAAGTCGAGCAGGGTGGATGAATGGATGCTCGACGACTTGGATGACTTTGAGTTTGTCAGGTCGGGAGGGCTACCGGGCGGGGGGCCAAAGTGCGAGGACGCATCCTGCGCATACGTGAGGGTGGCCATGAGCGGTCGGGGATGTTTTCGGGGTGTTGCGAGGGGCGGTGGTGAGGCAATGCGGTGAAGGAGGATGTCTGCGCGGGTATCGCGCGCGCAGGGAGGCGGACTTAGCGAGCGGACATAACGATGCTCGGATACAATGTACAGCGACTTTGCCTGCGAGATGTAGTGGACGTCTTGGTCGAGGTATTCAGAGTCGTTGGCTTCGTCAACAGGAGGCAGCTGCTGGCAGTGTTGTACGGCAGGCATCTTGAGCGTCGGCGGCGCAATTTGCGGAACTGGCGCTAGCCCCTGATCTCTCAGATGGGGAACAGGGGTGTCCAACAGTGGGCCTCGTTGTGCTCTGGGCCCATGGGCGGCTGAAGTGGCCTTGAACACGTTTAATTGCGAACCAATGTCTTTGTCTTCGTGAAAGCTGGTATATGGGTATCCGGGCGGGGATGCAGTGCCCGTGTCTCGACAGATTGCCCAGCTTATGAGACAAGTGCGGCCAAGTCGAGTCAGCCTTCTATGTATGCTTCTGTAAACGGGCCATGCTCGGTGCGGGCAACTAGCAATGCGTTTTGCAAAGCTCTCCGCGTTGGAAAATGTGCCTACTTTGACCCCAGCAGACCAGGTATCTGGGGGGGGGGTGTCCCAGCCCGTCGCATGTGCGCTTGACATCACCACCCCATGGCCAGCGGATAGGCCAATCATCCAAGCCCAAGGCCGTCTGTCACGCCCCATCGCGATGCTTTTCGTGGAACCAGGCCTGGTCCGCGTACAGACTACGCCGTTTCGCCTGTTGCCATCCCCAATTGCTCTGCATCGAGTACCGAACAAAGACATCATCGCGCCCTGCTATCCATCCGTCACTCCCGAATGTCCTGCAGCCAAGCCTCGAGCCTTGCTTTCGCGTCTACATGCCGCCGCTAATTATGGCGTGGCGTGGCGTGGGCCCCCTGTACAGATCCTTGGTTTGCTTCTTGCTTAGCCCCCCTCAGCCATCAAGGACCGCCGAACACACAGGTACCATTGCTATCTACAGCAGTGGCAGTGCTTTTTTGTTTTCGGGAGTTTTGTTCTTCATCGCCGTTGTTGGGTTGCATGTGCTCTATTGTTTGTGTGTGCGTTCGATCCATCCTCGAAACACGACATATGCCCTGGTAGAGCAGAGATTATGTCTTGGTGTTAAGCTTTAACGCCCTGCTACAACATCCTCCAACATGCGTCTTTCTATTTCGCTTGAAATGCATGCAGCCGATAGCGAGTCCTTAAGCCAACCCAATAAAGCACGATGCCGCGTTTGCTTTCCCTGAAACGCTGCTTGGAAAGCTTTGCAGCCCAGCCTATCTCGTCAATCAGCCGTTGTCAGAAACAGGCGAGATGAGCGCCCCCATGTCATATTCCGAACCATGGGGTTGATCTGGACGAATCATGGAGCGTGCACCCGCGCACCATGCGACATCATTCCAAGGTATGCTGCACTTACCACTGAAGCTGCCGGCGCGAGATGACGCTTTGCGCAATAATCGCCTCTCTGCTCCTGCAGGAGCGCGAACGGCGCTGAAGCATCACGTATGCCAGCGTGATGATGTTTTTTACAGTCTCTGCAATCAAGTCAGTCGATGGACTTGGCCCACTAGCGCAGGTCGGCCCAGCAGTGACGATCGCCCACCCATTTCTTCTGGCTCGCTTTTTCCAATTCTGCGCATGAGCCCCTACTACCCGATTGCACGCCAGTTTGGGGTGCTGTTGAGTTCTCGGGAGTTACAGATAGAGAAAAAAGTAATCAACGTACTAACAAGCAGCCCTGAACCCATCTTCCGCACTCTGGATAGCACGCGTGCATACTCAAGGCACCTCACCGCTGCTTCATAGAAGCTTTGATATACATTCGCTAGCACGGTTGACACGCTGTTCAACGATGAATCGATAAGCATGGCTTTGAGCTGGATCTTGAATGCGCTATCAATGTGTCAGCGCAATGTCGGGCTTTCTCGTGCATTTTGTAGTCCGATTGGCTGGCAGGAGGAAAACAGGCATGGGGCCCCGTCAAGGAACTCACTTGAGAGCTTTGCGATGAAAAGTCTGGCCCGGCATTTTTGCCAGATCCACCGTCAAAGAATCCTCAACAACTGCTTTACTTAGCACTCTGCATTTTCGACCCCCCTGTCGGTCAATACTACTTACCGGCTTTTGGTGGCCGCTCGGTTTTTTTGCTGATCTCGAGAGTCGTAGTGTCGATGCAGACGCCGCAGTAAGGGAATTTCCCACCCGACCCAGTTGTAGCAACTCGTTCACCGGTAGCTATAGTCACATCGAAGTTGGCTAAGGATTTTGCAGGCTGCACCACGACACCATAATCGGGGTGCCCTTGATGCATAACTTGCACGAAGCGTCTAGCGTGCTCTTCTGTGATGCTGATCAAAAGAAAGTCGTCAAGCAGACGGAGTAAGAGACAGTCGTCACCAAGCGCAAAGTCAAGGATGTCTCGCTCAAGTTCAGCGTAGAAGAAGTTACACAAAATGCTCGACAAGACAGAACCCTGGGGGATTCCCGTCTTTTGGCGGTAGAATCGCTTTCCAATCCGAACTACATTCCGCTCGATATGCTCCCGCAAGAGATACATTAAATCGTCTTTTGTCTCACAACGTTGCATGTTCATGTTCGCAAAGACGATATTCGCCTTGGTCCCCAAGAACCTGTCCCGCACAAGCTGATGGAAAGGCGTCACATCGGTTGTTGCATGGCTGTATGTAACAAAGCGCTTGCGAGGCATGGGATCAACATGGTTGCCATTGAGGCGCTGTAGAGGACCCAGGGCAAACATCTCGACATGCTTGCTTGTACGGTATTCCTGTACCGACAAAAGACTCTCAACCATACTCAACAGACGTGATTGAGGTATACTGTCAAAACAAGCCTGCACGTCGACCTTGGCAAAATAGAACGGTTTGTTATCAAGGCCCCGCTGCTTGATTGAGTTCCTAAACGCTGTTAATTTTGGGAGCATATCCCCAACAGAGAATAGCGAGCAGCCAAACTTGTCGGGTTGTAACGACTACAATTTGGTTAGACACGGTTAATTCGGCACGGACAGTATACTGACCTTTTCGTAATTTATGGCGTTGAAGGCGGGTGTCATGACTGTGTTGATGCTTCGCCCAAGCGCCATGGCTCCATGGCGCAAGACCTGTTGTCGTCGTCTGAGGTTCATGATAGTCCGAAAGCCCTGCTTTTTTGGAAGCAAGCGGATGTCGCTGAAACCGAGCTGACGTGCGGATAGTAGCTTTGTTGCTCTGTCTTTTGGCAGCTCCTCAAACATATTTAGGCGCAGTGTTTTCAGGGCAGGCTCGGCAAACATACGCCAGACATCATGGCGAAAGTAGAAGAGTCGATTGCGATGAGTGTTTGATTCCGTTACATGGAAGTTGGTTCGGATCAATGGGATTAGGAAGGAATCAAAGATCCAGTAGACAAATTCTAGGAATATCTCTGTACGTTTGTCCAGATCCGACTTTGAGAGCTTATGATCATTGTCTTGGTTTGGTGGACAAAGCCAGGAAATGGTAGTAATCTGCCTTGGCTCAGTACACACTCAGCGAGAAGGGCTGGAAAGACGTACATGTATCTTCTGTGTGACTTGATGTAAGGTAAGCGACTCAAATCTCCGCAAAGCTACAAACTGGTCTATCCAGTACATGACGATGTGCTCATTATGGTCATCTCCCCATGCAGCTTTCGGTATGACTTTGGATATGACTCTACGACAAAATGCCGAAACATGTGCCGCAGGACAAGCCATATCGAGGAAACAGGTTTGCTGGATTGAGCTAGATTCAAACACGGGAGAATGGGCACGATCACACTGGGCCAGTTGTGTGGCTGTTGTTAGATTCGCTTTGGACTGGGCCACACTCTTCTTCGATTCAGGTTGTGCAGATAACGGTATGCCCTGTTGGAGTCAGTGAGGGCTGTGGTCCAAGACAATGGCAGGACACACCTCAATGGGACAATAGTGGCGAAGCAGCTCCGTGTACGAACAGCGTTGGTTTAAAATTCGGAGTTTTTCAATCAGCGTCATTACGTTACCTCGAAGTCTCCTAGGAACGCGCAGCTTCCACTTGGCCACTTGGTCCGCATCAGTTGCTTTGTCACCTAATTGGCGGCACATGCTGGTATGAATATCCTTCTCACGCAGGGTATAGTCTTTGAAAGGCATGGCACTTTCACGAGCATCTACCTTTGAAGTGAAGACATTGTGCAAGCCAAACTGACGAGGAAAGATGTAACGCATAATGTGAACTGTCTGCTGCTTGTCGGCTCGGTCAGGGTACCGATTCAAGACGTCTACAAATCATGTCAGGAGGTGCAAATTGGTGAGACAGGGAACGCACGTATATGGCGCAGGCCGAATCTGACGCCCCCATTTGCATTCAGGGCGGCCTTTGCATACAACATGCGACTACGGACAAATGCAATTGACCCAGGTGTTCTGTCCTCGCTATGGAGATGGGGTGTCTTTGCAATGGGCTGGATGTTTGTATTGGGGTTTCCTGGGCCATTGCTCACGACACGGTCAAGTTGCACTTCAGACAGGGGCATGCCTGAGAGCTGGTAGTAGTTTCCCATATTAGCTTCGACGGGAAGAAAGATGGCGCAGTCTAAAAGTAGGTCCATCATAATGCGATCGCCGCTTTGACCTAAGAGGGCGTGTATTTGGCACCACACTGGGTCCTTTAGAGTTTGCACATGGCTGTTGTCGTGGACTTGCTGCAGGCCAGGGATGGAGGCCCTCGTGTCTGGGCCATGGTGCTGTTCACTGCGGGCTCTTGCAGCCCTTTGGAAGCCGTGGCAGAGCACATGGGCAGGCCTGTAAGAGGAAGAGCGGGTAAACAGGCGCCAAATCACATAGTCAACAATCTACATGTACTCAGTAGCGGCTCATGGAGATGCAGCGCTGACGGGCAGCACGGGAAATGCCAGGCACGTGACGCGACATACCTCGGGCTGCTTGTAGTAGCCAGGTTTGTAAGTGGCCCCTGGAGTGCTTTGTGAGCGCTGCTGGGTGAATGTGTGCAGATCTTGGTCACGTTCCTTGGCAGCGAGTGCGTGTTCTTGTGCGGTTACGTGTGCTGCACAGCCGACCAAGGCCGAGTCGAGCAGCTGCGCCACGGTGTAATCGACATGTTGCACAGGGCTGGTGTCTGAAGTTTGAGTGTGAGCTGGAGCACGAGGGGCATGTCCAAACAGGGCTATTCTCCGCTGTCTATTCTTGGACGACGAGGGCAGCCTTGACAGCAGATAGTGGCGCAGGGTAGAAAGTTGGGGATAGAGACGGTGCAGGACTGGATGGGGGTGGTGATGGAGGAGGGGAGGTGTGGCATTGGGGGATTGGTCGGCAGCGGCCAATTGTTTGCTGGACACCCCCACGGGGGCGGCGCGGGTGCCGTCATGATTGCCGCGCTTCCTTTTCATGGCGGGCGTGGTGTTTTGGAAGGCCGGGCGGTCCGGTGAATGGGTGGATGGATGGATGGATGGATGGATGGATGGGCACATAGACATATGGTGGTCGAGCAAGTGGCCGAGTCGTGTGGTTGTTGCTAGGCCGGGCAGGGGTGGTGGGGCGTGAAGCTACGGGGACGCTAGAGACGCGACGGGACGCGCCATGCCAGGGGAGAGCAGGTGGTGGATGGCTGGAGGTTGTCTTCCGTCATGGCACTCGCGCTCTCGGTTTCACGCTGGTTGCAGATGGCGAGCGCAGGTGGACGGGCTGGAGCGTGGCATCTGTGCCATGGGCCCCTAGGGGTGCAGCAAGCACACATGCACATGCACATAGACAGACGCATGGTACGCAAGTAGATGGATACAATGGCTGTACACGGAGGACGGCACTCGCTAGCATGGCCTGCCCGCCCAACTGGACTGGCCTGGCGACTGGAGCTACTGGCTGGCAAGCGAGATGTGGTAGTCGCATGTAAAGTACTAGTGGAAAATGGTCGTCGTGGTCGTCGTAGTAGTAGTGGCTGCAGCAGGAGGCAGAGCCAACAGGCGGGCGGGCAGCGAGACAACAGGCAGCGCATGGGCGAACACTGGGCGTATCTGATGCTCCAAGCCCACGCCCGTCGCTGTCAGTCTGCGCCTGTCTGCGCCTGTCTACGCCCGTCTGCACCTGTCTCCAGGCCGTCTGTCTCCCCTGCGGCACCGTTGTTGTCCCGTTTCCTAGCTCGATCCTGGGGGGCTGCACCAGGCACCTCGACTGCACTCCTTCACTGCCCTCAAGCGCACCACCACAGCCACGACCACGACTCCGACCACGACCACGACCACTACCCCGACCCCCTCCCTCCCCCAAGCACACGCTCTCACGCCCTCGCAGCCGGTGTGACGCTCAACCGTGCAGGCCCGGGCGACGGCAGGCGTGTGTCCGCCGCGATTGGCTGTGCCCCTCGCCTCTCCCCCAGTCCAATAGACGGCTGGCGCTGGCTGCGCTGGCAACCCCGGCTGCTGCTCTGCCCTGCGCTGCTCTGCCTGACACTGGACCGCCTCTCCCCACGACGACGGCGCTGCCTTGCCTCTGCGCTCCTGCGCCCGCCAGCAATGGGAGATGGACTCTGATCAGGCGCATGGATATGCATACGACCCCGGCCTCTCCGTATCGACCTGGCTGCAATCCACCGAATTGCACCCCCCCGAAGATGCTCTGGCTGCCTCGCCAGACAAGTACTATTCGGCCTACACCTCCACCTCGACCGAGCTCCAAGCTCCTGCCTCACCGCAACACAGCCCAGACATGCCCACCGCGCGCCCCCGACACTCCAATGCCAACGCCGCCGCCAAAAACACAACCGCCTCTGCCACCGCCTCGCCTGCTTCCGCCTCGGCCACTCGCTCCCCCCCAAACCAGTCAACCAAAGTAAAAGCACTTGCCGAGCGTTTTGAGCGCTCCCCCGACGCTACCTCGCCCACGGCCTCGTCCACGCTGCGCTCCAGGTCCCGCGATCCCTCCAGGGCTGTCTCGTACGACGTCCACCGCCGTGCCAATGCCTCGGTCTCGTCTACCGCGTCGGCCGCGCGCCCCAGCAGAGAGGCCTCATATGGCCCCCACAAGTTCAGCAATCTGAAGCCCAGGGAAAGACCCCAACCTGCTCCCGCGACCCCTCGGAACACGCGCCGCACGAATGGCATAAAGGCCAGCATCGACCAGCATGCCTCGTCGTCAAAAACAAAATCAGCCTCACAAAGTCGCCCCTCGACATCTGGTCAACGGCAGCTATTTGGCGAAGTGCTGACTGGTCAGGATGTGTCATCGCCTGGCTTCGGAATTCCAACCGTCGACGGCACGCTGGGAGAGTCTCCACTGCCTGCCACATCCCACCACACTTCCCGTCATGGACGGTCGGCTAGTGGCCCGACTGTAGTATCGTTGCAGGACTCGCAACGCACACAATCTCACGACCAGACAAAGTCGCGGTCTCCCGCGCGGCACACTCCACGCTCACGAATCCCCGTAGCCACACGACGAATGAGCATTGGCTCAGACTCTAATTCCTCGACCCGCTCCGTAAAATACACTCCCACACGCGCAATGAGCCACAGCAACAGGACATCTCCCACAAGAATGGAGAGGGTACTAGCCGCTGCTGTCACTCCAACCTCACGTGGTGCAGACCAATCAACGCTGCCCGCTCTAGCCTACCGCGGATATCGTGAAAGAGGAAAATCGCCTCTAGGTGCGAGACCTGGACCAAGCGTAGCCGCTGTTGTCACCGCCCCGCCTCCACCAACATCGCCTCGGCTGCGGAACTCGCGAGAACGACAGCCTCTCCAGCCTTCGCCTGCCTCCCGCTCCCGAAGCTCCGACCGGCAGGATGAACACGGATACTTTCCAATTGCAAGCAGCTTCCAACTCCAACCGGAGCCGTCAGAGGGGCTCCCCGGCGTTGCTGAACTAGAGCAATCTTTCGAGGCACATGCCCATGCGAAGCGTCCCTCACACGACCAAGACTCATGTCCACCGGATCAACAGCATTTGAGCCTCCAGACCTCTACCTTGACCGTACCCCCACCCAACCAACCGCAGTCGGCAGTGACCGACTTTGAGGAATCGCCTGTGCTGGGACTACCCGGAAGTTTTGTCCTTACACCACCGGCAGCCCACCAGAATTCGGATGAGCAGCTCTTACAACCCAACGTCTTCCATGCCTCTGCTCAGAACAGCGTCTCTCACACACCCGACATTGAACAATCAGAATTAGGCGTCAGGGAATCAATACCAATCATGCTCAGTGATGAGCAGTCCACAAAACCTTGGGAGTCCGACACCGACACCTTCAACGAAGGCCTCAAGGCTCTGTCGTTTGACTTCAAGTCGGATCATGGATACGATGCAAACGAGGCTCTATCCGCATCCTATCCAAAGCGTGACACACTTTATCCGGATGATTCAGCTAGCGTAGCGGCTCACCGAAAACGTGTGTCTCTTACGCCAAACACAGAGACATATAGTGTGGTAAACTCAGTCTTGAATATGTACCATCAGTCACCAGTCATCTCGCCAGAAATGGCGTCCGTGTCACGGGAACGAGTACACCAAGTCTCCCCTGTAATAGCACAACACAAAGACTGGGGGTCCAAAGAGGCTACAGAGACATACCTTGCACGATTGCTAAGTGACGCAAATGGGTCAGCACGCGACACTACCAAGCTTGAGATGAGCAACACAACATCGCCGCCACGTCCATCAAGAACCCCACCACAAATTCCCCAACAGTTGCCAGATGCTGCCCCCAGTGGCACTGCCATCATATATCCCTCATCGTCGCGACGTTACTCAGGCGCATCAACAACCACTACCATTCAGGAAGATGCATCTCACTCTGGCAGTTCTTCCGGAAACCGTTCTCGCAACGCATTGTCACAGAGTTCCTCCAACGATCGTCCATCGGCTCCTACTAATGGCCTTGAACTACCGCAGCTTGCCTGGTCCGATGGGGGCCTTGGATTGGACTTGCAGCATTCCATGCCGCATTCACCCATGAACGCACCACCCCGGCCCAACTATTCACCCCCACCTCCCCCTGTTCAGCCGTCCATTGACGGACAAGTAGCTTCGCAAAACGCCTCATACAATCATTTGTCGCACCACCAACTCTCTCGACCTACGCTTAGCGACGAGCAATTCGAGATGCACCCCGCTCGGTCGCGTACACCAGTCATTCATATTCATGAAAAGAGCCTGGAAGATCGATATGGTACCCCGCAACCCATGGAGACATCTGTTCCAACACCGACCGAAGGCGAAAAGGGGGAAGACGGCCAGCCTGATCCGGTGAAGCAGGCGCTGATCAAGCGGTATCGTACACTGGAAGAGTTGCTTACGACTGAGCATCAATTCTGCATCGATATGATGATCGCACACAACATCTTCGAAGCTACAGCGCAGAACCTAATGAGCGAAAAGGAGAAGAGGCTTTTGTTCAGCAACTGCAAAGAGCTCGAAAAGTTTTCCTTGTCGCTATTCCGGGCGTTCAAGAAAGCTGCGAAACCGATTGTCAACTACGAAATACCGCCTCCAACCGGGCCGTGGAACCGCGATTCTACTGACAGTAAACCGGGTGACGCTCAAGAATCATCCGCGAGTACCCAAAGACCGTCAGAGGACTCTGTGAATCAGTTTGAGAACTGTACGCTGGAGAACGATCGATTGACAACAATCGGCCAGGTATTCCTTGACAACAAAGAAAAGATGGAAAGACTCTACACAACCTACTTCCTGAACCAAGACAATGCAAGTGCGTACATCAAGAAAAACCAAGGAAATGAGATCTTATCTGGATGGGTCACTGCTTGCTTTGAACAAGTAGAGAATATGACCCAAGCATGGGATCTGGATTCTCTTCTTCTGAAGCCTTGTCAGCGTCTGCTCAAGTATCCGCTGATTCTCCAATCGCTGCAAGAGATTACCGACCCAGACCACCCAGATCTACCCAAGATTCGGGAGGCCTACGAGGAACTCAAGGCAATGAGTCAGCGCATCAACGAAGCCAAGGCACGTTCTGATACCTTCCGCGCTGCCGCTTCTGAGGGAAAGAAAGAGAAGAAGAGTGGTTTGGGCAAGACGTTTGTCAAAGCATTTATCCCCAAGGTGGACAAGAGCAAAGCATATGATGAGGCAGACAAAACATTCAAGGATCAAGACTACAAATCAAAGGAGCAAAAGTTTGGCGGTCATTTCTTCCAGCTTCAGATTGTCATTCGCGACTTTGAACAGTACCTCGAAGCCATTACTGAGCACTATTTGCAGCTCAACATTGTCTTCCTGGGCTTCATCACTGTTTGCGAAGTGGCGCCATCGATATATCCTGAGATTGAGAGCACATGGCGAAAGTGGGCAATGGCCCATTTCGAGTTGCAGAACAAGGCTCTCGAAGAGCATGTAAGCTGGCACATATTCTACTTTTGGGGGGTAAAAGCTAATCGTGCATTAGAAAGCTGCTGTCCGCAGCCGCGTGCTGAGGCCAGTTGGAGATCTCTGGGAGATGTGGGTATCGTATCAGAAGACAATAGAGCAGCGCAAGAAGTACCTATTGTACTATGTTAAGCACAAGCAGGCCATTGATCGCGGTGAGAAAGTGGACCCCGACCTGGAAGAGTCGGCGAAGAAGTTCTCTACGATCAATGACACACTCAAGCACGAGCTGCCTTTGCTTTACGAGAGAACAAAGGGTCTCATGCGCACGCTCATGACACTGTTCATGTGCTTGCAAAAGGATTGGTACAAGACTTGTTCAAAGAAGATTCTTCCCCTACTCGAAAGCGAACCTCAACACACGACATCGCTTCGTTACGATCTCGAGTCATATGTCGAGCGCTTCCACTCCGACTATAAGCCGATGCAGGAACTTGCCAACAAGCTTGGCATTGTCAACCGAAATCTGCTCATCGATATCTCGAACATGACCTCGCCCGTTCCCACATTCTCCTCGGATGGTGGCGGCTCGTCCCGTAACTCTTCTTCTCGCCGCACCGAATCAATGAGCAGCGACACGTCCTTGATCGACTCGCGAAATCGCAACAGCGGCGGCTATGCACCACGGTCACATCCCCGTCCCATTGAGAACCCGCCCCGTTCTTCTCCTTCAGGACCTGCCTACCCCTCACTACATCCGCCTAACGGGGCAAGTCGGTCAGGTCCTGGGCCTACGTCGCTGCGCGAGGCACGAGCACTCAGTCCTTCTTCAGACAACAGTGACGCTACCGTTATGCATAGCGAGCGTCGTAATACTGGACCTTCGCGCAGCAACCACAACTACATGGGTCTTGATGGTGCTATCGATGTTGAGCATTCACCCTCGGTTTCTCATGCATTCGACTTTCCACCTCAACTCGGACCTTCCTTCCTCTCACCTCTGCAGACCAGCACACATACCGTATCGGCACCACCTTCACAGCCAACATCTCTCGCTGGATCTACCCGTGCGTCCGGAGTGTTCAATTCTGCGCTGCCAATGTCCGATTCCCCTGCCCGAGGCAGCGTCGAAGACCTACCCACCACCCCTGCCGAGGCCGAAGAGCCCGAAGTGCTCTTCCTGGCTGCAAGTCTGTTTGAATTCAATATTGCCCATGACCGCCGTGAAGGTGGGATACCGTATCTTGTCTATGTCCCCGGCGAGATTTTTGACGTTATCGGCATGAAGGGCGAGCTGTGGCTTGCTCGTAATCAAGACGATGCCACAAAGACTGTGGGATGGATTTGGGAGAAGCATTTCGCTCGCATTCTGCCCGAAGACGCATAGTTTATGGCCTTTTGTCGGGGTGGCTCTTCTTTATGAGGTGGAAAAGGGGTGTTCCTAATCTTGGGTCGTGTGCGGTGGGTTGGGGGCGGTGTTCTGGTGAAAGATTTGGGGCTCGCCGAACAGGCGTCGGCCTCCTTTTCTTGCTTTGCCGCTGTGTCTGTCGTCCCTCCCTTTTCGTTATTCTCTCTCTCTCTCATGTGATTCCCCAATCTTTTTTGCTTGTCGTCTCACCGAATCCAAAACCAAACAGTTCTTTTTTTTAAAAAAAAAAAACCGCTTTCGAAACACGACGAAGGATCTAGGGCTGGCGTACAGGATTTGGGGGGGGGGGGGGGGGGGGGGGGGGGGGGGGGGGGGGGGGGGAGTTGGGGCAACTTCTACCATTCCAAGTCGAATGGAGCATTGCTGGCGTCTCTTTTTTTCTCGTTGTTTGTCCCTCCGCCACCTCACACACTTCCTTGTATGTATTTACGAGAAGATGATTGTTTTTTCTTTCCTCTTTCTTTTATCATTCTCCCCTTAACCCCCCTTTTTTTATCCGAGAGAAAAAGATGTCGACCCTGCACATGGCCTGTTTTTTTTTCTCACGTTTTTGACATGCGAAGGGTCCGCCTTTTTTTCTTTCTCTTTTAATATTTCCTTTTTTTCGGCTTATTGGGGCAAATATCGTGGAGGCTCGTGTTTGCTTCTTTACTTCTTTTTTTTTGCGCGCCAATAGCTCGTCGCACAAGTGTACAAATATCAATCAAAAGACTCATGATGCATTTTGGCTCTGAATGAAAAAAAAAAGGATTGTTTTATCATCTGTTGACCTGTGCTTTTGTTTTAAAAAAACTCTCTGTCTTTTGTGGGATGGGTTTTGTAGGAGAGACGTGATTGGTATAGTAGCATGATCTCAGTTCAAGTCTAGCATAATATGTAGAAAAGGCTCTACTCTTCCATTTCCGATCCACTCTCGCTGTCACCACCATCTTCACTCCCAGAAACGTCTTCGTCGTCTTCGTCATCCTCGTCTTCATCACCCTCCAAACCGTATGCATCTTGGAAGTCCGTAAGCTGCTTGAGCTGAATCTTGAATCCCGCATCTTCAAAATCCTTCTTCAAACCCTGATGTAGTAGAAGAAGAAGAAAAAAAAGTTAGCACACATGTTCTTTTTTTCTGTGGACGAAACAAGAGAAGGAAGGGAAAAGAGGAAAAAGGGAAAAAAAAAAAGAGAGAGAAAAAAAAAGTTTACTCACATCAGTCATAATGCCACCACACGTCACGACCAAATCCGTCTTCTGGGGCTCGAACACGTTGGCCACGACTTCTTGCAGAATCTTCTGCACATCCGCCTCTGTCACCTTGCGCACCTCGCGCAGCGCCCACTCCTGCCAGTCCTTGCCGACGCCCCTCGTCACAAGATCGATAAACGAGCTACGCGCCGCATCGACAATGGTCGCTCGCTCATCGACAAAGTCTCGAACGATGCTGGAGATGGCGCCTTCGAGCTCGAGCTTGTTCAGCTTCTGGGTGCCGTCGCCGTACTCCTTGACTACAGTCTTTGCCTTGTTGTACGCGGCGAATACGTTTGGCGACTTTGAGATGCGGAATTTGAGCAGGCCTGTCTCTGGGTCGCGGAAGAAGTTGCTGCCGTAGGCGAGACCCGTGCCGCGGATCGACTGCCACATGGGGCCTTCGACTGCGTCCAGGTATGCGAGGGCGACCATCAGGGGAGGGAGTTGGGGGTTCGTGTAGCCCTTGGGGCCCTTGGATGTCAAGACGGCAAAGGACGAGTCGATGGGCATGGGGATGATGTAGTGTGTGCCGCCTGGGTTGCGTCCGACGTCTGAAAGGAGGGCATTTCTGTCGTCGATTGGGTTGATAGTAGGCTCTGGTCCTGGCTGGAATGCGTCGGTGAGGTGCCTGAATGTTGAGACTGGATTTGGTAGCGTCTCGACGTTTGCGGTTACCAAAATGCGCATGTTGGAAAACGTCAGCAGGTGCTTGCGTAGAGCTTCAAGTTTATCGAGAACCTGCTGTGGTTCGGTCTTTAGGAGCTTCAGAATACGCTTGAGATACAATCCCTTGACGAGTGTGCCGGTTGCGCGGACAGCTGATGCGGCGTCGTAGTGAACCATGCGGTCTACTGCAAAGCTCATGGCATTGCCGTCACGCTTCTCTTCAGGAACATCAGCCAGCATCTTCTTCACGGCAGAGATGATGCGCTCAGTGTCGAAGATGGAATCCACCAACATGGACCTCAGCCACAGTACAACTGTCTCGAATTTGTCGGCTTCCGCGACGAAAGGAATGTATATCATCTCTGAGCTTCCAATGTCTGTACCACGATCCATCGAGTACTCGATGGTGTCCTGCTCCAGCTTGGTGATGACTTCTTCGAATTCTATGCGCTTGCCGTCCTTCATAATGGGGGTGGCGAAGAAGTTGGTAAGGTAGACTCCAAGCAGAGGCTTTAGTTCAGTCGGTAGGCTAGCAGTACCCAGTGCCAATCCAAAGTGTACAAAAGACGTCGGTATGTGCTCAAAGTGGATGAACAGAGGAAGGCCATTCTCGTCCTTATCCACGATCTTCTGAATTGAATTGTCTGAGACACCAAGCTTCTTTGCCAATCCCGACCGTGCTGTGGTGGTTTGGAAGAAGTGAATGGACTCAGTACTTGGAACCTGTACGCCTGCAATTATCTCCTCTGGAATCGGCCTGTCGTTTTCTTCCTGAGCCTCCTTGAGCTTCTGTGTCAATTTCTTCAGTCCCTCTTCACCTAGCTTTTCCTGCTGTGCTTTGACGCGAGCAATCTCATCGGCTTTGATCTTGTCGGACAGAGCTTTTGAGGGCTTGCCAAGGATGGAGACATGGTGAGCATTCACCATCCACTTATTCAGATAGGCCCGCCACTCCTCTTCTGTCCACATGTCGAGGATATCAAAAACGTCGAGAGTAGCCATTGCGTCTTCGAGATGAGTGCCTTCTCGGTCGCCGAAAACGTGGTCCTTGATAATCGGATCTTTGTATTCATCCAGACCAATCTCCGACATATACCGTGTCTGCCTTTTGAAGCGGTGAAGGCAGTCTTTCAGATAGTTCATATCAAGTGGCTTAGAGGCATGTTCTTTGAGGACCTCAAAGAAGCGCTTCTCGACGTCGGCGAGCTTACCAGTCTCCACTGATGAGATAGTCCACCATATGATCATATCATAGTGGCCCTTGCACCAGAAGTAAACCATGCTAGCTAAATGCTCCTTCTCGACAAGCGTGTTGACAAGGACAGATACGGATGAGCCAGCAAGGTAGTTCAGAAGGGTGTTGATGGCTGTTTCTCCCAGATCATCAGTAGTCTCTGGGCCCAAGAACGCAATCTGAATCTCTCCTGTAGACTCGTCTTCTTCAGGGAATTCTACCGTGTCGATAATGGTCTTGCTGAGTGGAGGAGTACGTGGCGATTCCACCCATGGGCGCTTGAATGGGGCATCGTAGGCCGGCACATGGTCGATGATATCGTCTTCGAAACTATCTAGAACTTGCAAAAGATTTGGGTGGTCAACTTCTCCTATGATGATGACGCGCAAGTTCTTGGGTTGGTACATGTCTTGATGGAATTGGCGAATCCGTTCTGCGGTTGAGACCCTAAGGTTCTCCATCAAGCCACCAGTCTCCATTCGGAAACCGTCCCCTTCAGGGTACAGGAGGCGACGCATTTGAAGGTCCATCAGGTCACCCTGCAAGTTTTGTCGCCCTTGCATCTCAGAGTAGACAACACTTCGATTTTTTTTAGTAACTTTGTGCTTGATTTGTCAAGGAAACTTACCCCGCATCCTCTCCCTTTCCATCAATGTGGTGAACCTCAGTGTAACAGCCAGCATCGGTCAGTGTAGGAACAATGAGATGGTCAAGGTAAATTGGCAACAGTTGCGCAAAACCTTCCCAGCCCGCAGTGGAGAGAGTGTACACTGTCTCTGAGACATCCGTCCACGCATTGGTATCCGAGTATGAACGGGTAGCAATTTTGTCCAGCACGCCTTTGAAGGGATACTTGCGTGAGCCCATAAAGCAAAGATGTTCCAGGGTATGTGCTGTCTCTGATTAGGATATGTGTGGAGATATCGATTTAACATACTCACGTGCGCCGGAATCATCATGGATCTCTGTGGCTACCGCAAAGTTTCCGTAAACCTTTGGACCTTTCCGATCGACCACGACTACGCGCAGCCCCGTGCGCTGAGATTCATACTGAGTGAATGTTGCATCAGCATAGTTTGCCTTGAATTGCTGTATCTTCTTGAAATGCGTCTCCTGTGCTACAGACCCCATGGTGGCGAAGTTGAAAAACTGGAGGGTCAATTCAGTAAAGTGGTCGGAGTAGGATTACTCGGTGGATAGATCACTAGCACAAACCGCTTTGCCCAAGTTGGCACTACTATTGTTGTGTTAGTCGATCGTGTGAACAGCTAATGCAATGTCCTGGTCTATATGGGCCACTAGCACTCAGATATGGTTGTAGAGGATGATCAGAAATAGAGTGTTTAGTGTGCACAAAGAGTGTGTTCAAGATGTTGTAGAGCTCCGGGTTCGTGTCCATGGACTACTTTGTTGCCGAGCCGCGCACGACACTGTGAAGGGAACTTACGGGTAGATGAGATGGAATAGAGGCAAAAGGATGCTACACCAGCAGAGCCAGCGTGAAATAGTGCAGAACAGCGTGGCAGCGAGGCTCTAATGTACCAGGATTGTTGTCAGCGGTCAAAGAGGTAGCCTGTCAGAAAAAGACTAAGAAGGCAGGGTATGGAGTCAGTTGCCTGCTGCGACAATGTTTAGACGCACGTGTTGGCGGCTTATACGTACAAAGAATAGGCCACACAGTCTTACTAGCGGTGGCGGGGTACGTGTGGCGGGGCAGCGACACCAGGGTTGACGTCGGCCGCATGTCCGTGCAGCTGCAAGTGTTCCATAGCATGACACGCCTCACGTCTCTTTCAACACCGGGCATGACAATCGCCTGCTAGCCGCAAATGCCTCCGCAAGTGTCAGACGAGCAGCTAGGCGATGCGCTCCTTCAATCGGCACAGTATGGAGCGTTCCCCCAGGACGAACATGTGGCATCTGCTACAGTGCCATCCACTGCGCTTCCAAAACTGCTAGAAGTAGTCACCAAAGCCCGCGAAGACACCAAAGTATGCGACGGCATGTTACTTCTTCTGTAATTCCCACATTGACTCTTTACCCCAGAACCAAGTCCGTCAGCTCTCACGAGAGGCCGCGCCTGACATCGACGGTTGGATTACCCAGGCACGCAAACTCCAGCACGATATCAAACGCTCCCAGGATACGGCCAAGGAAATTGTACAGCTAGCAGAAGCAGGCAAAGAGAACACGGAACATGTGCAGGATGCCGCAAGCAAGGTCAGCCTGTTGCACACCGAGATTGCGTACAACGAGAGCCTGGTACAGACGGTGGAACAACTGCGAGACATATCTACTTTGCTAGACTCCGCTCAGAATGCGGCGGTGAATGGTCATGTGCTCCATGCCATCAGCACTCTGGAAGATGCAGACGATGCCTTCAAGAGACTCGGTCCATTCATGACGACAAGAGTAGTCGGTGTCCTCAGAAACAAGCAAGAGCAGCTGAAGAAAGCCCTCGTAGAGACTGTTATAGACTCTTGGAACGGACTGATATCAGTTGACAGCGCCATGCATAAGATTTCGCTGCACCAGTCGATTGAACAAGAAGCCAAAGTTGATATCAATACAACCGTCGAAGCCCTCATAAAGCTTGGCCTCCTTGACAATCTAATCGTCCGCTTCAGTCGCGACCTCGATAAAAACATAATTTCACCCCGCCTTGCCATGGGCACCGACCGCGTCGTATCTGCATTCGAGGTTCACGGGGACGATATACAACGCGCAGGCCCAGTAAACGATGGAAGCATCAAGGCCACAATAGGAGACGTCCAATTCATTGCAGAGTATCTAAGTACACGATTACCACCCTCTATCGTTATCCCGCTGTCACACAAAATCGTTCCAATCATCGTGTCACGTCTAATATCACATCATCTTTTGCCTGCCATACCACTTTCAACAGAGGGCATCCCGCAATTTCAAGAGTCGCTATCTTATGTCTTGGGGCTTGTGGAATTCCTGGATGAGCTGGGGTGGTCGGGTCAGAGTCGTCTGACAGAGTGGGTTGACAAGTCCCCCGAGCTCTGGCTAGCCAGGCAAAAGGAAGCCGCTATTGCCCAAGTCCAAGCCATGATTCCGAAAAAGGTGCTTGAGAAAAAGACCGTGGAAAGGGTTGAGACACAGATCGTATCAAAGGGAGATGCCTTACACGCTGGTGATGACCAAGAAGATGACTGGGCTGCAGATTGGGATGGTGAGGGCGAGGATGAAACGACTAAGGAGCAAACAGTGTCGGTAGAAGAAGAGGATATGAGTGCTTGGGGTGATGAAGTTGATATACCAGACGAGGAGCCCAAGGAAGAAGTTTCTAAGGAGAAGCCCTCCGATGTTGAAGATGCCGAAGATTGGGGTGCGGATTGGGACGACGAAACCGACGCTAAGCCAACTACCACACCGAATCCCACAGCCAAAGCACCAGAATCACCGAATTCGAAAAAGAAATCAGCACAGCAAAAGGGGCCCACAGATCAAAAGGTCACACTGCGAGAGACATATACCGTGACAGCAATTCCTGACGCGATCATGGATATCATTTTGCAGGTTCTCAGAGATGTAGACGCTCTCAATTCGGCCGATCTTGTCAAATCAGCCATTTCACCTGCAAGTGGAGGCTTGTACGCAATACCAAGTCTACTGCTTGCAATGTACCGAGCCACCGCCTCTATGCATTACTCCAAAGACATTGCGAGTAACATGCTCATCTACAATGACTGTCAGCGCCTATCAGATCGGCTGCGGCTCTTCTTACAGGAACAAGCGGAAAAGGACACATCATCTACCTTACCACAACATCTGCAGCCCTCAAAACGCTTGAAGCTATTGCTGGAGGCCGACATCAAGACCATTGACGGATTTGGCAAACGTGCGTACGGACGCGAGATGGAATCGCAACGACAAATAGTAAGGGACCACTTGGAGGATGCCCAAGGCTTTCAGGATTGCACAAACGTCCCTTTCGCCACAGTATGCGACGATGCTATTGCCACGACCATCGATAGGATAGGAGACGTGAAGCGCCAATGGCAAAACGTTCTCTCCAAGAGCGCTTTACTCCAGTCTCTTGGCTCATTAGTATCAGCGGCCCTTACAAAGTTTGTGAATGATGTGGAGGATAAAGCAGATATTGCTGAAGACGAGTCTCGAAAACTACATGGGTACTGTGTCTCACTCTCTACACTCGCACAGCACTTCCAGACAGAGGACGATAATGGAGAAATCAGAGACATGGCTGGCGTCTATACACCTAACTGGTTCAAGTTCCAGTATCTCAGCGAGATTCTAGACAGCAGCCTCGCAGATATCAAGTACTTCTGGACAGACGGAGAACTGAAACTGGAAATGGAGGCCGAGGAGGTGATAGGCTTGATTGAGGCATTGTTCGCACCAAGTGATCATCGGAGGAGAGCAATTGCTGAGATCAGGAGGACCAGCGTGCGATGAAGAGAAGTCAGTCACAGCAAAGCATCAAATATTCAATCACCATCACATTAATACCGAAATTGCTTCCCATTTAATCAAACTATCGCTAGGTATTCTGAGAGTCTATTCATAATACGCAAATCATTTTAATGAACATGTTCACTGAGCACCATCTCAGATTGCCGGAGGTTCGCGAACGCCGACTGGCTGGTATTTTTGCGCTAACCTCCTTCGGAAAAAGTTCGAGATCCCAAAATTTCCAAAGCTTCCAGAATCCGTCGTCACTTGCACACCACTTTTCGACAAAGAAACCATCACATAACGACGCCATGGACACCGAAACGGCAGAGACCAAGGTGCAGATTCGCCTCACCACGCGCGATTCTAGCCTACAAATTTCAGAGGAGCCTAGTACTTTGCTTGTACAAACATGTAAGTACCGTCGTGGGACATGATAAGCTGCGTTCGCTTTTGCAGCAGCATGTCGCAAATTTGTGTAATTGAAGTATAGCCGCAGCCTGATGCGCCAGTCTCAACTATCCATTATCATATACTGTGCTAACAGCATGCGCCTGTAGCCTTAACGCGCCACAAGCTTTCGACTCTTGTAAACGAGCTCCTACATCGCGGGGATGAAAACCGCATTCCGTTCGACATACTTATCAATGGCGAATTCCTCCGCACAACCATCGACCAGTTTCTCACCAAGAACGGTATTAATGCCGAAGCGACGCTCGATGTAGAATACACTAGGGCATTGGTTCCACCACTGAACGTGACGAGTTTCGAACATGACGATTGGGTCTCTGCAGTTGATGTTCTGTCGGGGGTACAGAGTGGACAAGAGAGGATACTGAGCGCAAGTTACGACGGGCTTCTGAGAGTATGGAACACATCAGGCGATGTTTTGGCGACTTCCGAGGCGCCCAATAATGGAGGTCGGATTACCAGCTTGAAGACGGCAAAATGGTTGTCTGAGAAGAAGATGGTGGCCGCTGGCTTGGACAACACTGTTCGTGTGTACAAATACGACGACGATGCGCGGACTATCACGACTGCCTTGGAACTCTTCAACCACCGCTGGGGCGTAGAAGACGTTGCAGTCCACGCGCCTTCAAACCGCATCCTGTCCGCATCTTCAGACACTACTGTTTCGCTTTTCTCAAGCAACGCAAAGGAAAACCCAGTCGCACCATCGAATCTGCTCCCGAACTCAACAGCCGCTTCCAACAAGCGACAAAAACTCTCCAAACCAGATCGTACGGCTCCTGCTCGCGGCGCATTGGCAACGTTTACAGGCCACAGTTCGCCTGTGTCCAGTGTAATCTTCAAGCCAGACGATGCCACAGTCGCATACTCTGCTTCACACGACCACACGCTCAAGACATGGGATCTACCTACCGCTACATGTGTCGACACGCGAACAACAGGCCACTCGCTCCTCTCCTTGTGCGCCATTCCTTCCCGAAATCTCCTGGCAACCGGTACCTCGGCACGCCACATTACTCTTGTCGACCCCCGCGCATCGGCTACCCAGATCAGCGCCATGACCCTACGAGGCCACAAGAATGCCGTTGTATCCCTCGACACGGATCCGTCGTCCGAACACAACCTTGTGTCTGCGTCTCACGACGGTACGGTCCAGATATGGGATCTTAGGAACGTTAGTGCTGGTGCCCAGATGGGCGACGGCTTGACGGGCGAAAGTGTATATACAATTTACAGGCAATCGCGAGATGGAGAAAATGTCAAGAGCCATGGTGAGGGCGCAAAGGTATTCACCGTGTGCTGGGATCGCCAGGTGGGTATTGTATCTGGTGGTGAGGACAAGCGGGTACAGATTAACCGTGCGATTGGGTCTTGAGAAAGGGGGCCTGAGTGTGACTCTCTCTCTCTTTCTCTCTCTGTGCAATTGCCAAAAAAAGAAGAAGAAAAAGATGTAGTGACAGCAACGGGTGTTTTGGGCGCATGTTTTAGATACCAGGGTTTGGCTAAAAGGGAAGAAAAAGGGTAGCTTTGAAGCTGGATCGAATGGTCGCGAGTATCTTTTGGTCTTTCTTGTAATGCGACGCCTTCGCCTACTATGTGTTTTATGCTTTAAATGAAAGGGTATCAAGTCGCCAATGTTCGGTTCCCTCGAACCACTTCTTCCCCCCCCCCCAACTCCACATATGCTCTGAGGTCGCACGTCTATATCTTTTCCCTTGCCCTGGCGCATGGAAAAAGTACTTGGTGACCCAAGTTTCCAGCGCCTCCCCTTCCTTCTCGCAACACCGTATTTGCCTCTCTACCCTATCCCTTTGTTGGATTCGGCAGAATCTACTTTTTCTTCCCCCCCCCCCCCCCCTTTTTTTTTCTTTCATGTTGTTTCTTCTTTGTCTCGTCTCTTTCTCACACCAAATGTCCCGGCAACAAGAAATTCGCAACACCTTCTTTGACCGCATACTCATGCTGGCACGCTCCACATACCAGCTTCCCTTCTTTTATACACGTCTCGAGGAGTATCCTGTGCAGATCCTTTGCCGTCTGGCTGGGCTCTTCCTCCTCCTCTTGTGCTTCGCCGGTTGGTGTCGCCTCAGCGGTATCTAGTGCGGATGCGGAAGACGACGAGGGCTCGACGAGGTCGGCGGGTGTGGGCGCTGTGGGTGGGAGTTCAGGGAGACCGAGCTATAAATGTTGGAGAAATATGTCAGCTTGTATTCGCTCTACTGTTTCGTTCTTTTTTCTTCTTCTTCTTCTTCTTCTTCTTCTTCTTCTTCTTCTTCTTCTTCTTCTTCTTCTTCTTCTCTCTTTTGCCTTCTGGTATGTATGTATATAGAGAGGCGCAAGATGTGACAATCCATCTTAAGAAACACTACCATCTTACCTCACTACATATCACCCTCAATTCATTCCACAAAATGCGGGGTAGAATGTTCTTCAGAAACGCCAGGTTTACATCTGCTTCGACGATTTCGAGCTCGGCGTCGCGCGGGTGCAGGGGGAAAGATGCGGGGTTCGTTTTGCAGGCTTTGATGGCGCAGGTGAGGAAGTTGAGGGTTAGGAGCTTCATCTTTTTTGCGTGCGCGTATACTTTGGATTATTAGAGTGAGGAGAGCCGGAGGTTGCGACGAGTAACTTGGGAGAGTGTTTCTTGGTAAAACGTGCGATATAGTATGGGTGATGCTTGCTGGTTGTAAGGAGTTTTTGTTGAATGCGCGCAGTTTGCGGGCGGGGACTGCGACAGAATAATTTTTGGCGCGTCGGGGAGCGGGCGGGCTGTCGTTGGTGGGGTAGGAGACGCTAGTACGAAGCCTAGGTTTATGCATATTGTTTTCAATTTCAACCTTGCTTCCATTCTTTCTCTCACATTTTTGCTGAGCATCACAACCTTTTTGGTACTATTTTCTGAGTATATAGTTGGCAATGTCACGGTATTTGCCTAGAAAAAAAACAACCTTCAGCTTGTGCAAGATACTGGCAAAATCAATTTGGAAAACTTCATTATAGATTAATTGAGACACGGGCAATATAGAGTATGTCTTTGGTTACTACTACGAGGATATGTTAATACAAGACGGCATGAGTCATACCTCTCGTCTATCAACCATCCAAGACCTATCGCTTCACAGCGTCTTCCAACACTAGATCCGCTGCCCTCGAACCCAGTAGGAATGTGGAGACTGCTGGAAAAGCGCCCGGGCATCTTGGGAAAGCACTTGCATCGACAACACGCAGGCCTTCCACACCTTTGACTCTCAACCGGGAGTCTAGCACAGCCATTGGGTCAGAGTCTGGGCCCACCTTGTTGGTGCTCGTTGGGTGGTGGCCGAATACTTGGTCCTCTATCCACTGCTTGTCAATCTCAATGTCACGGCAGTATCCACTCTCAAGTATATCAGATGGGGGACAAGGAGGAGAGATCGGGGTGACAGGACCAACGGGTCCCACGGTTGACATGTAAGCCTTTCGTACGAATGCCAGTGTATCCAGAATGGCGCCCATGTCTGTCTCTGCGCCAGTAGCGAAATAGTTCAGATTGACCTCTGGAGGCTCCGTGGGATCGGCAGACTGGATCTGAATGTATCCTGCGGTGTTCTGTGGATGCATCTTGACTGTAGACCAAGAAAAGGTTGTCGGAGGAATGAGCGTCTGATTCTGGTTTGTATCAGGTACGAAACCACGGAGGATGCTGCCAGGGAAGCCAAACATGAACATGTCACGCTCACCCTCGACAGCGTGCGCCGTCTTGAGCAGGAAGGCGTTGGAGTTGACACCACCGCGCGTATATGGTCCCTCGCCCTTGTACCAAAGGTCAACGCATGGATCGCCAGGGGCGCCAAATGTGCAATTGGCTTCACTGGGGTCAGGAGGGGCCGTAAGGGTGATTTGCGCCTCGCCATACATTGGTATTTCGTAGTTATCCTGGAGGTTGCGGCCTACACCGGGCAGATCAGAGACCACTGAAATGCCGTACTTTTCAAGTAGGGCTTTGGGACCGATACCAGAGAGTTGAAGGATTTGAGGCGAGTTGAATGCACCACCTGAGACAATGACTTCTTTGCGAGCGAAAGCTGTCTTGAGAACACCTTCTGCAGTGTTGGCAGTCCGTCGTGGATCCGCTTTGTATACGGATTTGCCTTCGAGGTACTCGACACCCACTGCTTGTGGCTTTGTGCCATTGCCACCACAAGTATCGAACAGCACCTTGGTGACCAAGGATTCAAGCTGCACATGAAGTGGATGCTTTTGCGTGCCGTTCGCATTTGTCGCATTTCGCATCTCCAGAATGATATCACGCGGACTGAAGCGCTTCCATTTCGGTGTGACATGGAAAGGCAAAGCCCACAGTCCCTCAGTTTGATCGCGGGCTGGGTCGAGATAATTCCCATCGCTGGTGATGTAGTCCAGTACCTTTTCTGGCTCTCTGCCAATGAGCTTCAGAGCCGCTTCGTATATTTTGAGACGAAGCGGAGCCATTTGCTGAGCTGCACGGTCGGCTATGTTTGTCTGAAGCCAGCCCGTAAATCCGTGACCTGGGGTGCCAGGTTCCAGGTAGTTGTTATGCTCGATCTTCTCAAAGTACTTGCGCATCAGCCTGCCACTAACACAGTTAGTACACACATACAAGCATTGAAATTGCAAGGGAAACTAACCCCCATAGGTCTTCTTCGGTTCCTTGGTCAAAGATATCCCAGTCACTCTCACTTGGTAAGAACGTTGCTGCCGCGTTTACAATGGCACTTCCACCAAGTGTTGCACCGCGGGGATAGAAGATACCGAGTCTCTCAGCACCGACATGACCCTCAACGGTTGGGTCTCGTCCAACCCAGTCTTTTTGATATTAGCATCTTTCACGCAAGCATCTCTCGAAGGAAGCAAAATCACTCACATTCTCCATTTGCCAGTCTCCAAACCAGCAAATTGTACCGCTTCAACCTCTCCTCATCATCGCCATGTTTGACAAAGAAATGCCACGTAGCATCCGTATTGCTGAAGGTATTCAGCGCAAGAATCTGAGTCCGAATATCAAGCGAAGCATCCGAACCCGCTTCAATCAAGAGCACAGAGTGCCCTGCGCGCGCAAGATTCGTAGCAATCGTCCCGCCTCCCGGCCCAGACCCAGTTACAATATAGTCATAGGTATTCGACGAGTCTGCTGCTTCTGTCTGCGGAGACGCACACGCTGGACTAGAAGAAGGATACGCGAGAACGAGCGGAGGCAAGAGCAAGTAAGGCGCTGCACGAAACCTCATGATTGCGACAGAAATGAATAGCAAGAAGCTTTCAAAAAAAAAGACGTAGGAAAGCTTTCAAGGGAGAAAAGGCTTGCTGGGCTCGACTAACTTGCAACCCTTTGTTGGCCCGACTTCATATATGGGATATAAATCAACCAACCTCCCCTCCCCCCTTCCTCTCGCCACCAACATGTTTTCCCCCAATGATATACGAGAAAAAACCAACAAGCCCTGTGCTCATCCCAAGGAAAGAAAAACAGCCGAGTTAACGGCTTGCATACATGTACTTACGTTTTTATCCGGGAGGGTGAGCCGACCTCTCCACATCTTTTCTTGCACAAATCGTACCTAGTTTCTTGGCATCGTTACACAAACCCTCTCACACAAGGGCGCGTTATTGGCTGGATTAACTGTAGAGGAGGAGCGGGGGGAGCGGCAAAGAAATCAACATCTGCAGGTACTACTGTACGTGCATTTCCCAATTTTACTAGTCAGGTTTCTCCGCAAATGTTGGGCAAAAAAAGCGGCTGACGTGCCGGGATGTTTGGATGCGCCGAGGAATTGATAGTAGTAGAGGACATGGGGGAGATCGAACGAGTTGAGATTGGGCAGCCAATCAGCCGGGGGGGTTGGGTGGTAGAAATAGGCAGGTATCTTGTTTCGGTTTGATTGAGAACGTGGGATCCGAGAGGGTACGTAGGTCGATGGGGTCGGGAGTTGGAACCTGGGGCTTATTAGGTAAATGGTATGGCTGCAAAAGGAGAAAGAACCAGGTGGTTAGTATTGTTTTGTCAGGAGGTAGATCGGTAATCATTAGGTGCATACATGCAGAAGCTTGTTCAGCTCTTGGTATTGATGGGGAGGATTTAGTCAACCGAGGCGACTACGAAAATTACGCATCGTGGAAATGAGCCTTCATGCAGACAAGAGGTCGTAGAGAGTTGCTCAGGAGCATGGTTCAGAGTGAGACTGGTTGATATACCGGACTATTGATCAAATGCTTTTGGGTCATGTGTTTTTCTTAACTCGTCACATCGTCTGTGCTTCCTCAGATGTGTTGTGCAAGCAGACACACTCGTCGACCACACTATGGTCAAATAAATCGTCATTTCTCATAAGCAACTACGCCTATTGAAAGCTTTTCAGCAGCTCCTGTAGCTGTGCGTAGGTATCGTCTGGGTTCTTGACCTTGTGTCCAATGGTTCGCTTATCGCTGTAGATTTCCCAGTCGTTTCCGCCCTCGTATGCCTTGTCACCGAAGAAATGAATCTTGTCGTAGACAATTCCTGAGATGTCCTTCTCCGCCTCAATGTGTCGCAGGCAGTAGGTCTTGTCCCAGCCAGTAGGGAAAACGTCAAACGAGATTTGGCCACCGATAGAGTAGGTAAGGCCATAGTCAGGGAAAGCTTCCTTGAGCTTTGCGACCATGGTCTCCCTAATCTTGTGCTCGAGATCGTATTTTTGGTACTCGTTTCGCTCTTCGGTCGAGGCGTTACGGCCGATGGGAGAAACGTTGATCATGCCATTGCGGAATTCGATAAAGGTACCACGCTTGATGGGAATATCGAGGTCGGCGATGTAGTGAAGGATCCTGTGGTTTGGGGTCAGCAATGCTTTGTAAGCCCACGGGCTTCGACATACCACTTGGTCAGCGCCTTATACTTGTCTTCACCAATCCAGGCGATGAAGCTCTGACTGGCCAGAGTCTCGCCCATTCGGATGGCGGTAAGTCCGTTCTCAGCAAAGCAATAGTCGAACAGAGATGTGACATCGACTGCACCTCCAAGTTGCTCCTGCTGCTTGGCCAGGTTGGAGCCGCCAACGAAGCCAATGGCAACTTTGTGGCGGAGTTCCGAGAGCAATTGAAGCATCTCAGGGCTCACCAGCTGCAGCCATGTTAGCTGTTGGTAGGGGAGATGTCATTGGAGAGTGAGCGCACTTGACGGGGCTTTGTGAGCGTGTCATCGACATCGAAGAGTAGGACTGTGTTCTTGACCGGGCGCTGGTCAAGCGGAGGGTATACAGCAGCTGCAGTTGCCATGATTGCTATGTATAGGCAGTCTTCTGTACAGCAATTTGGGTCAAGACCAGGTCTTTTGATCAAAGTAACCAACAAGAGGCGAAAAAGTCGGTATAAGGCTAGAGAGTGCAGCGAGGGTCGCGGTACAATTTGGAGGGGTTTCGTGCAGGGATGGGTGATCCTCACCGCAGTTTCGCGGCTGGCATGCGGGGGTGTGCGGGACTGGTACTCAACTGACATTGGCCAGGCGCCTGGACCCTGAGCTTACGACTGCGGTACCTGAATCGAGGCCCAAGTTACGATGCTCCGAAACGTGTCAATTGTGCCTTTGCGCTTACTGTGCAGCATGTTACTTGGGCGTACAGCTGGCAATTCGCCAGCACACCATGCCGAGAAAGAAGTGATGATCAACAGCTATTTTGGCATTCGTCGCAACATCTAGACAGACTATATGTGTGTGTGTACATGTACAGTAAAACAGAAACGCGGCCCACCTAACCCAACGCCCCGACTTTCTCCGCCAACCCCTTCCACCGTCCTTTCCTCATACCTGAAGGCATCTCCAGTATCAATTTCTTAAGCAGATCCTGTTCGTATTCAAGTTTCTCCAGTGTTATTGCCTGCAGGATGTAGTTGCTGACGGTGCTGTGTGAGAGTGGTGGGTTCCGCACCAATGGCGCAATCTCATCCACTGACATTTTCTGGTGATGCCATAGATGGTAGGCACGGAGGTGGGAAACTATTGCGTGAATACGAGGGGGAGCGGGCGATCCGGGCAGCGGAATAGTAGATTGGGCAAAATTCTGCGCCCACGCAGTCGCCAAGCCATATGATGAGCCAGTCTGCTCAGGAGTGACAACCTCCTCGTCCTCTCTCAAATTGCCAGCATCATCAAGCGTCATGTGGCCAAGCGCTTCTTCGAGTTCTGCATCCGCATATTCATCATCCGTGTCAGCTGAAACTTCGCTATGCTGAGACGCTTCAGTGTCCTCCTGAGATAGTTGTGGTAATACCGGATATCCCACATCAGCTCCTTTCAATGACGAGATATCGACCCGTCCTACACGCCTGGACGAGGAAGAAGTCTCGTTCTCAGACTCCAGATTACTATCTTCATCTAGCTCTGTGTTCTCTACCTGCCTGGCTCCAAGTTTTTTATCCTTTTTGAGTGAGCGAACAGTTGGAGTTGTTGTATGTGTAGGATCTTCGAGTTCATGGCTATCCATGAGTTCTTCTGGCGCCGTTTCATAGCCTTGGGTGTTTTCATCACTATCTTGTTCCTCTTCCACAGGATCGATTGATAGGTTCGAGTCGCTGTCAGTAGCTTCTTCGACCTTGACGGTTGCTCCAGCTTTCTTACGTGGCTTTTTGACACGGGGGGCAGGCTTGTTGTCGTAGTCGCAAAGCATTACCGGCGGTGGTGTTGGTGTCAACCGAGCCCGTTTCCGCTCCAATATGTGGTAAAGCCTGAATCCGGCATACGCGTCCGCAGCTGCGTAATGTATTTGTTGCAGATTTAGCGGGAGGCTCCAGTCACTTTCTCGGACACTGGACGTAGTGTCTTCGTCGTCTTCTAGTTGCTCGCCTTTGTACAAGGGCAACTGCAGGTGTTGAAGCACTTGGGTAGCAAGACTGACCAATCTATTTGAGACTTTGCTAGGATCGACCTTATACCATTCAACGAGGTTGTGTAAGCGACTTAGCTCAAAGACACCCTGAGGCCGAACTCCAAGGTACTTTTCGACACGTTTGAAGTCACCCTTGATAGCCACCCCTACTTTGATGACATCTGGTGACTCCAAGACGGCTTTCAGACTAGGTGGCATGAGCTGTTCGACCTTGTACCCAGAAAACAGCGAAATATGAAATAGCGCGATCCTATCCTCGCATGCAAGCTGGATCAATGAGGCGTTTTGTTTGATCGCATGCGGATTTCCATAAGGTTTCCACTCGATATCGAAGCCTACAACCTTCTCTTTCAAAAAGTACTGAGCAACTCTCTCAGCAACATCAAAAGATTTACAATAATGAATTGAAAGCGACTCGCCGTCCGGGCTTTGGTACAGCTTCGCGCTCCAGTAACTTGCACGTGTTTTGGGAGAAACGAGCATTGCGGCGCGTAGCGTTTCTTCTGGGATCTGGTAGGCAAGATCCTCATTGGCATCTGACTCCTCTTCTTCGCTGACATCGGGCTCCGATTCTTCTTGCGAAGAAACTTCGTACGTGTCTGTGGAATCTGGCTCTTCTGTAGACTCAACACAATATGACGACTGGCTTCCCGCTGGACAGGCGCCATCTTCTGCACTAGACTGCGTATCTTGCCCCAAGTCACTGCCACTGTGTGTCGAATCGTCTTTGGTACTGGGCGACTCTGGTGATCTGGTTGAGGTTTGGGGTAGTGGTTTCGTGCTTGGAGGAATGGGAGTGGACTGCCGTGTCTCTGCTTGTGATGTGGTCGCAAAGCGTAAACCGTATGACGGGTCCCACAATCCCACTCGCTGGAAACAGGTCAATGGTTTGTATGCGTCTACTGAGGGGGAGGTCTCACAGATGGCGCAGCGAACGCTTGTAGCGGACGAGGCTTATTTTCGGCTGTGGTCGCTCCATTGTTCGCAGTAGGTTGTTTAGGAGGAGGAGAAGAAGGATGCGTGGTCGGGCCAGAGTTGTGGTGCATATCTCGAATGCGCGTGCTGCTTGCGGTGAAGGGTCGTCCCCGCTTCCATTGGCAAGTGGTAGGAGAGGAAGGCGCGGGCGCTGGGCGTGGTGGGGTGGCGTGCATGGCTCCTGCCATGTGCAATAGTCTTGGGAGTCGCGAACCGCTATCTCTTTTTCTCTTTTAGTACAGTGCTACATGGCAACTGAGGTCTTGTTCGCACCTCTGTATGTGATGGCGGTCTACTGCTCGTGGAATGCTCGGTGTGACTTCATCGCAGACAGACCGAGAGACGTGTGACGCGCTCAGCAGAGGGGCGCGTCGTCTGAAGAGCATGGCACTCCATGGTAGTGCTCTAGCTAGGCACCAATGTTGTGTGTATGTGTTCGATAGGCTGATTCGGCAGCAGTGGCTGAGAAAACATGTCTGTTGCCTTGCTAGAGCGACGGGACCCTGTTCGCGAATGTTGGTTGGCTAGCGCGCCACCTGTCTTGAGGATGGCCCTCTCCGCCAAGATATCCGACCCAGCCACCACGACAACACAAAACCAACCTACACCAGACTACGCCACCATGTCGCTCGAGAATCTATTGCCTCTGGGTGAGAATATGCCACTAGGTCTACCTGTCAGGCGCTGACTGCCGCAGAACTCATCGACAAATGCGTTGGTTCGCAGATCTGGGTCATTATGAATGGCGGAAAAGGTGTGCTTGGATGCCAGAGACGAGAGCGAAGAGACTGACAAGAGGCAGAATTCACGGGTAAACTGGTTGGATTTGACGACTACGTCAGTAAGTAGGCGGCCGATGACTTGTCTGCGCATTTCTAACATGGCATAGACATGGTGCTGGAGAACGTGACTGAGATGTGCGTGGCTACGCCGACTTGTCTAGACATGATGGTCGTGTGCTGATGTGGACTGCCAGCGACCCGGCCGAGGGAAATGTGCAGCTACCCAAGATCCTGCTCAACGGCAACAACATCTGCATGGTACGAAACAAGCGTAGCCAGGATGTCCCATGCTAACTGTGATAGATGGTTCCCGGAGGAGATGGCCAAACAGTGCTAGAGGAGGAGTAATGGCACAGGCAACAGCAGCATGGACAAGCGCCGCAGAATGCGATGATGGCCGGGTTTGGGGCTCACATGATGGCAAACGGCTTCATCGCGGTCTCTTCCATCAGTGTGTTGTACTCGCCATGGCGCCTGTCATTCACGGCTAACCATGCCGACGGGTGCGACTGGTCCGGAGCCATGTGCCGCCAGCATCGAAGGCAGCCCATGGGAGGCTACGCAGAGAGTAGTGCATTTTGGCCGTTTCAGTTCACGTGGCTTTTGGGTTTGGTAGCGTGCATAGATGTATGTATGGATGTATGGGATACACATGTATGCGTGTATGGTTCATGAATCAGCAATTGTCCCTCTCTGTGTGGGCACGTGACGGCGGCAAAAGGTGAGGTGAGGTGAGTGCAGCAGCAGCAGCAACGCAACGCAACGCAGCGCAATGCGTCTGCAAGGCACCGGCGGCGGCCACAAGTACCGCACCCCTCAACGGCGGGCGGAGACAAGGGCGAGTGGCTGCGATGTCGACGGTGGAACAGATCCAAGGCGAGGCCGATGACATCGGTCAGGGTCCAACGTGATACGCTCACTCTGGCCCGGTTTCTGCTCCGTGATGCACAAGTCAAGGGCACATGCACCCTACACCACGCACCCACCCGATACAAGCATTGTGCAGCGACTGCAGCTGGTCAAGGCCTCCCACTTGGGCGCATGTACTAGGTGACGGTTGAAGGCCAGCTTAGGACGAATCCAGCCAAGTGAGAGAAGCGTTCCGCTCCGCCTTGGGCGTGAGAATGGCATTGCCGGCGAGCAGTGTCCAATGGCACGGCTGGCAGGCGACGGTGGATAGTCGCTGGGCGGAGCAGGGTGCCGAGAGCTCCTCTCCGCCCCTGGCCTGGCGCGCTGATCGTCACGAGAACTAGCTGCAACGGTCCAGGCAGCGCAATCGCCTACATATCGAGTCGCATCATGGCCAGAGACAGTGGCCTGAGAAAAGCAGAGACAGAGATGTCTACCGTCTGCCATCGCCGATGCAGCCCGGCCTAAGCTCGCTGCATCTGCTCGTGTCTGCCCACCCCTCCCCCCCTTCCCCCCGCGACCAGCGCCCCCATCCAGCGTCCAGGGCTGCGTCGCATCGCAGATCTGCTTGCTTGCTACTAGCACTACGGTGCCTGTGGNCAGGCAGCCAGGCAGGCCGTGTTGTCGCAAGATGAGCCCGCCAGAGCCAGTGCTGCTTGCTTGCCGACGGCTGGCAAATCAGCGGCGGCGGCGGCGGCGGCCGTGGGTAGGCGACTGCGGCTGGTGGGTGGTGCCGATGCACAGGTAGACGTAGCAGGCCGTGTACTAGGACCAAGATGAGAGATGCCCAGGCTGGCCACAGACAGACATGTACCGGCCGACGTCACTCAGCCACCCACGGCTGGAGTCGAGCAGCGACTGCATGCTTCCTGGGTGCAGGCAGCAAGCAGCAAGCAGCAGGCAGCGCCGCCTCGTGGGCGGGCAGGGAGGCGTGCAGCGTGGATGATGGGGTCGCCTGGGAGGGGGCCAGCGTGGATGGATGCGATGATGCCGGGCTCCCGCAAACCGGGCCTATTCCAATGTATCGGCGCTTCGTTGATGGGCAATGGTTCTGGCCTGCCATGTTTTGTACCCTTTGCACCGTCAGCTATACGCGCTGCAGCCTCCCAGGGCACGTCATAGGCGCACCCGATATCCCGCAAGCAGCCAGCTCTGCGCCTGCCAGCCTGGCGCGTGCGTTGCCGCTGCTGCTCTTGCAGCTGCCCTGGCGTGCCCTCGCTGCGCGCAGAACCGGAGAGAGGGCGACAGAACGCGCTCGCTGCCTCTGCACTGCATCCCCTGTCCGGGCCTGCTGTCGAGCCCGCCGATCGCCTGCTCTGATCTCGACCGTCTGACGACCCTATCGCTGCCCGGGCTGCACCCTTCTTCCCGCTCCATTTTCCTGCCCTCCTAAGCTCTCCCATGTCGTTTGCTGCTGCTAATATTGCTGCTGCCGCTGCCGCTGCCACTACCACCACCACTACCACCACCAACAATCCCATCATCGTCGTCATCACTAACACCTCGTCCACCTCGCCCACCCCCTCTCCCGTCTCCACCCTCTTCCTCCCACACCTCATCCGCATCCTCAACTACCACCACCCGCGCCAGCACCAACCGCACTCACCCGCCGCACCTGTAGCCCTCTTGCCTCCACCCCCCGTCCCATCACAATTGCCCTCCATGATTGCGCCCGGCCTGGTCTGCTAGCCTCGTCCCACTCAATTGGGCCTTGCACCGCTCTCACCCGGAGCTGCCCACGCTCACCGCAACCCGGGTCCTCTGCGTCTCTGGTTCGCGTCGCATCCAAGCAAGGCTCTGGACGCGCCAAATGAGCCCCGGCCGTTTACTGACTCTCGTCGGCCGCTGTTCTGGCCGTGCCTATACTAGGCTGCGTCCGCTCCCCTCCTTGACGGTAGCCGAGACTCGACCTGCCGCCATCACAACATAATTACAGAATTCGACTGCATCGGTCCGGGACCCACCTACCCCAAACCAACGTCGCGTTCCACCGCCCAGGCATGCGCCATAGTCGTTGACTGCTGCTTCCTTCACTTGCTCTTCTCTGCGCCTCTGCGCCCTGCAACACTTTGACCCTAACCTCGATTTTCCTTGCCAGTCGATCCGCCGCACTCGCCCCGCCGCCGCACCAATCACGCTGGCTCAAGCAACACTCGGGCATTTCCTTTTTCATCCCTGTACACTAGTCTCGCCATACTCGACCTCTATCGATCTCGCTCGATCCTCAATACCATTGCCACTAGTCGCCTAATCCTGCAGGCTTATCCAACCTTTTTGAACACCACGTCTCTCCACACTCGGTCGCTACACTACATTTACCTACGCGGTCGCGCCCACGCCTTCCTACATGAGCGACTTGAAAGACCGTTTGGCGCGATTGGGTCTGTCCCAGTACCACCAAGTGTTCGTGGCCGAAGGCTTTGACTCCTGGGAGACAGTGCTCGACATTACAGAATCCGACCTGTGCGTTTACCCTCCACCTGCTTACTCCCTCGACAGACCCTTGCTTACAACGCCGCAGGAGCTCCCTCAACGTAAAACTTGGTCATCGACGGGTATGTATATACATCATCCGCATTGCTCTCTCATGTTCAGTAGTCGTTAATATTTTTCTTCTAAAAAAAAGAAACTACAACGGGCCATTGCCGAATCGCGCGGACAGTCATCCGAGAAGCCACTTCCTATTAATCTTCCCCGAGCGGGAAGCACCGCAGGCTCGTATCGAAGTGACGATTCAGGGCCTGAAAGCAAAACCAAGCAACCAGAGTCAAGCAATGCTTCTTCTGGTGTAACAGGTGCCAAGCGGAAATACCGACGACATCCAAAGGTTTGTTTGAAACTTCTACAATGTAAACCAGCTGTGCACTCTCCTAACTTTATACAGCCCGATGAGCATGCTCCAGAACGCCCGCCATCTGCTTATGTCATTTTCTCGAATCGTGAGTATCACATCTCAACACACTGTGACTATGGCTAACCCAATTACAGAGGTGAGGGAATCCCTAAAGGGACAAGATCTATCCTTCACCGAAATTGCCAAGGTGGTTGGAGAGAAATGGCAAGTCCTACCCGCGGAAGAGCGCGAAGGCTGTGAACGACAAGCCAATGGCGCCAAGGAAAAGTACTATGCGGAATTGACCGAATACAAGAAAACACCGCAATATGAAGCCTACCAGAAGTATCTTGAAGATTTCAAAGCAAAGCACTCCGTTCCAACAAAAGGTATAACACTTGCGCCATATACTCGAGACTATGGAGTATTAACATATACAGAAGGCAAGCGTTCAAAACTGGATACAGAGACAAGCACCTCAACCCGGGCTGGTAGCAATGAGCAAAATGACCAAGCAGCAAACAGAAGATCAAGTTTCACACAGCCAGATGGCAATATGCTCGCGCAACAAAAGTCGGAATCCAACCAACCCCCTGGCCCTTCGCGTCTTCCTGCAGGTCCTACCTATACTTCTAAGCCCACATCGCCGACCAATCGCTCGCTCTCTGGTTTGAATTCTCCCCGATCAGGGGAGCAGTTCTCGCCAATTTCCGCCTCTCCGCGTTCCGCAGTCATAGCAAGAGACGGCATCTTTGAGCCAGCTGCGACCAGTTCCGTACGGGATACCAGGGTTCCGTTCGACTCGAATTCATACCAACAGTCTGCATTCAATCAGGACAACAGCCATCAATCTTCATCAACGCCACCACCACCCTCGTATACATACACATCTCGTTATCAAGCGCCAGCAGATTTCCCCTCTCGCCGAGCACCGCGAGACACCACTCGTCTTCCACGCCTCAGTCACGAGGACACGACTTTGTCCTCGGAGAGTAGTCACAGTGGCCAAGGGGTGCTCACACCGAGCTATCCTGAACAGGCCCTACCTGCCGATCCTAGCAAGACAATGCGTATGCTTCCCCAGCCAATCCCAAGCATAGGACCATCGCCTTCGCCACTAGACCGGCCCATGACACATATGGCGGCGTCGCATTACCCGCATCACTCGCATGACTACCGCACACAGGGTCCACTAGCGGTCCTAGTAAGAGCAGGAGAGTTGGCGGCGAGGGTAGCGGACGAGGATGCGGCGGTCAACGCGGGCTCGCCTTGATTGTTAGTTTGACGACCACGCCACAGTATACACGACACACACTATGGGTTATTTAGTGCCTCAACCAGTAGGCACTGCATGGCCTGCTGAATTGAGATTTGCAACAGTTCGCGTAGTCGGTCACGTTGGGAGTTATTTAGGCCCATGGCACACTGGCCAAGTAACCATTAGCGGAGACGCTTTACGTTTTCATACTTTATGTTATTTGATATTACAAGAAGATACCCCTGACGCAATAAGTTGGCTTTCTGGACACTCAGTAAGCATACGGGGAAAAGGAAGATTTATCTCGCGTGTAAAGGGTAAGATTTTGGACCGATGGGCCGGTTTAGAAGAGGAGAGGATGGGGCACATGTGAAGGGATGTCGCCTCAAGGCAGTCATTTTGGTCATGCTAGCGCCCCAGGAGTTTTGAATTTGACGAAATATACCACGACGGAAAAGGGACCCGCGGCGCAGTTAGCTCTGTCTGTAGTTGGTGGATCGCGCAGAGTTTGTACATAGTATGTACGCAGCCATGAAATGTACATGTACATACATCGATGGTTTTACCCGAATCATTGGCACGACGCAACAGATTGGCTGAGAGAGTCCCATGTACGTACGTACGTGTAATAAGCCGTGCTTGGAAAAAAAGGGCCTTTGGTAAGCGTGCCACATGGCGTGACAAATGAAGGCTGGCAATAGATTGGCTTATGCAGTCGACTAGCTTGCCACTGGGGACCCGGCCCAGATAGAGCGGATCTTGATGGATAGTTTAGCCTGTGGTGGTGCCAACACGGAGACTGGACTTGCGCATGTTTCGGGCATGAGAATAGCATGGCAAATTAGGCGGATTTCACATGTTTGCTAGGCCAGCCAGCATGGGAGATTTGACATGCCGATCGTGGATCGATTATCAGGATTCTGTCTGTGCGTCACGTGAAGTCGCGGGTCCAGAGGTAGTCGGGAACCAGTATCATTAGTCGGTACCCTTTCATGTCGAGCACATGTGGTCGCAACGATCGACAAGGCGCCATCGAGTCGGTCGCTAGATGATGTTCCCCTCCCCCCTTCCCACCCTCCCCACTCACACCAGAAGCTTCGGCACAGCAAAAGACCCTCGCTGGCCCCTCTTTTCAACCCCAGGCGTCAAATGATATCTATCCTGGATCGCGTCGCGTGCGGGCCCATCTGATGCTGGCACTGGTTCCCGCCCAGGGCGCGATGCCATGCATGCGGGGGATCATGGCCAAATTGCTTTGCCCATTGACCTACCACAGCCGCTGGGGGGGAATTCCTCAGCTGATTGCAGCATTAGCATGAGGCCTAGGATGCTGAAGATGGACATTCCCCATGCTGATTGGGATCTGGCCGCGCTCAAGCCTGTGCATGGATGGTTCTGGACCAGGATACATGCAGGCTTGTGGAGCAATGTCATGTCGTTGTGTCAATCAATACCCAAGGACAATCCCAGCGAATAGAGTGCCTCTCAGCACACCCATTGCTGGCTAATCGTATGGCGCGAAAATCCTTCCGAACCAGGGTTTCGACCAGCAGCAGCTAAGGAGAGATACAGAATGTCCACACTTTGGTAGCCGTGCAACGTTCATGCGGCTTCACTGAGGGTCCACTGTACAGGTTCCGTGTCCCTGGCTTCCGCGGAGCGTCAGCCTCCTGCTCGGCACCCGGCATTCGAGGTTAGTCTTAGTCTACTTTACACAGCAGCGACGGCTCATGCACCCCAATGTCGTATTCTTTTCCATAAAGTCAAGGCTATCATATCAGTCCACCAATCAGTCAGAGGCGACCTAAGTTGTCCGTTTTCTTGTCTCTAGCTTCCTACTTTAACTCCCATGTACTTCAAACCACTCCATCTATAGCCAATGGGAAAGAACAGCCACTGGATTTCGTAATCGTACTTCTTCTGGTAATGTAGTACTATTGGGCATGGTTGTGGCACAACAAAGCCATGGCTCACACTGTTGAGTAATCAAGACAGCAAACCCACAATCACACCACACTCACTAAATCACGCTTCCCATCGTGACGGCCGTCTCGCCTCTCGAATCGAGTTGCCCAAATCATGCTCTCGTTTCTATCTTTGACATTCGATGTGCGCCCACTCCCTTTGGAAATATGTGCTGTCAGGCGTCGCACGACTAAAAGCTAGCCAATCACAGCCATCTCCATGTCCTTTGCACGCTAGCCATCATCCTGGCTCAAGCGTCACAGCTTCAATCCTATTGTCAATACTCTAATCAATCATCTGAGCACGTCGTAGGCCTTGCAGATACGCCTCACTTTGCCAGGATCTCAGCTGCAATCGCCATACCACCTTTGTTATCCACGGCACCTGTCAACCGCTTAGGAATGCGCGAATCAAGGGCTTGACTACTAGATCTGTGAGTATGTATGTGAAGAATTCGTCCAAGCCACACTGATTTATTGCGATTGGTAGTCCTGGCAATTTCTCTTTGTGTCACATGACACATTGTACCACAGAGGTCTAGACCGGTATCGAAGCGCCCGCGGCCTTGAACGCTGCAAGGCGACGGCACCTAGCACAACGCCTTGATTTCCCACTACAGTCTCGTGCATGTCCAAGACTCCGCTCCGCTGCCCAGAACTTCAACAGGGAGCGCTTCAGCATGTCTACCAATCCCGCCCCATCCGAGCCGGTGGCGTCTCCAGGTGATTCCGCTGTAGACGCTGATACCAGCCATGCGTCCATGGCCGCTACAAACGTCACAGTACCGCACTCAGCACGGCGGTACCTATGTCTTAAACGCTTGGAGAAACTAGATCTACCTTACCATCCCTTGTACGAAAATGCGGCGTCAGACCACAGGACGAGTTTGGTTGAATTTCTCAACAGTCTCTTTACTGAAATCGACCAAGTTGATTTTGACAAAGATCCGAAAGAATGCGGAATCTGGAGTCCCCAGAATGGAAGTGTGCTGATGCCTCCACTAAACGCAACTGGAGATAACAAGGAACTTCCAGCTCCCATCTCAGTCAAGAAACGCATCCTTACAATCAATCAAGAGCGCTGGCTAGCCAGAACATCCATCCACAGTGATTCGCATGTCAAGTTTTCCGAACTGGCGCACTTGCTTGCACGAGAACACAGTCGCAACGAATGTGTTTATACGCCCAGTGTCTTCGATGCTGTTGAGCTTCTGACATGGGATCGGGAAGACTTGCTAACTGCTTTGCGTGCATCAAAGTATCGAGAAAGCATACATAATGTAGAGATGTCTAGTAAGTTACATCTAGCAGTAGGGCGTATAGGCTTTGCTGGCCTTGCTGCCAACCTACTGGACCTGCGTGTCGTCACCAGAGCTTTGCTAACACAGTACAGTCTTCCAGATGTTTCACGAAATGCCAAAAGTCGCTGGTCGTGATCTTTTACAAGACCGTGTCTTCCATGTGCTAGTTGTCACTACACAAACCAATCATGCTGAGAGTCCTTCTGAGCTCGCTCGATCTTCGACTGTCCAGCTGCCAATTGACTTTGAGTCCTTCGACGATAGCACCATTGTGCAAAGAAGCCATGTGAAGAAAACAGGGTCATCGAGAACCTACCAGATTCTAGAGGGACATGAGAAATTTGATTCAAAGCATCCTGACAAGCGGTTGCCGCATCAAGGAAAGAAGTTGACAGAGGGCAAGTATGCTTCGCTGGAACGGCTGACTTCGGCACCAAGGGGGCCACAATCTGATGTTGGTAGCCTTGGTGATCATCGTTGGGACATGGTAGGTTTCACAAACAAACTTGGTGCAAACATTGTGCTAACTCGGCACAGATGACTTTGAGTACAGCTGGGGGTCTGACACGCATCGCGCCGAAAAGTGTGCAGGAGAAAGAGACTCTAGTGGCGACTGCAAAAGACGTAGAGTATGTTCTAGCATACATTGCTGAGCAGCGGCGCTAGAGGTGCGGCTGAGGGATGGGGGCTGTAAGTATTAATGGTAGTGCCAAAAGCGGCAAGGCTGAGGCCGAGCGAACCACAAGTCGTGGCCGCGACACCATGCCACTTTGCATACATTTTGACTCTAGTAGGCGGCCCTGCGCCTCATGCATACGAAGCACGGATTTAGAGAGCCTGCCGCTTTGCTTTCTTGTATCTACCCGACTCATTAATGCTATCTCATCGTTGTTCCACTGTCTTTGTGATCCATTGCTAGTACCTCCCCTGTGCTCCTTTGTGTACTACACTTGTCGTGAGCTTAATCATACACGCAGACCCCTCAGCTCTCATTGCAGCGCGCGATCTCGGTCAAGACAGCGCCATGCAGAACTACGGACAAGCACCAGGCTATCAACAGCCAGGAAGCGCAACGGGCTTCGCAGGCCAGCAGAGCGCGCCTCCGCCAGTACCGCCGCCCCCACCGGGCTATGGAGGTATGCACACGCAGACCGAAGCTTCCAAATACCTATAGCAAGAGCTAACACGTGCTCCCACAGCTTCGCAAGGATACCAGTCTGTTGCTCCCCAACCGCACGGTCAATGGATTCCCTCCACGCCCACGCCAACTCAGACGTCGAGCCCATGGAGCCAATCGCAACCTCAAACTATGGTGGGATACAATCCGGGCACATATGGAGCGATATCAGGCGCACAACGGCAATCATATGCTCAGCAACAAGATGTGCCTCCTCCTCCTCCCCCGAAACCATACGGCTTTGCGGCGGCAATGCAACGACAAGAGCAGCAGCAGCAGCAGCAGCAGCAAAATTGGGCCCAGCAGCCTCAGCAGCATGCCAACTTCACACCTCAACCCCAACAAGGAGGATATACCAATCCGGGTCCTCCGCAGCCGACATATCCCTATGTAGCTCCTCCGCCACCACATGCAGGAAGACCAAGTTCGATATATGGTGCAATTCAGACACCGTCAACCCCAAATGCTCCACCGGTGGCTTCTCAGCAAGCCCATGCAAATATCATTCCAAACGAACAGCAGCCAGCATATGCCCCACCATCTATGCATGGAACAAGCGTACAAGAGTACATGTCACCTAATGCCAATCTAACAAATAGTATTCATGGCCCTCTTCCGTCGAATGCCCCAACATGGCAGCAGGCACAACAACAACCGCTACAGGGGGACACAAGCCAGTTCACTTACACGAGGCCGGCTGCGGATCAGAATCCTTACGTGCAGGGAAACCAGAGTACACAGCCTTCATATCAAGCAGGGCAACCTCCGCCGCTTCCGCCGCGCGTTGGACAGCAGACGGGACAAGCTGTGCAAAATCAACAACCCCAGTACCATCACTACGGACATCAAGCACAGACGCAGTATCCACCGCAGACCCAGACACCTGTACAGTCGCAACAAACATCAACTCAGTTCCCATCACAGCAGCATGGCTACCAACAGCAATCATATCAAGGCCAAGCCGTCCCTGCTAGCCAGCAGCAGCAACAGTCATTTGCGCAGACACAGCATCCACAAAGTCAACATCAGCAGCAGCAGCAACCACAACCGCCGACGTACGGACAAACTTCTCACGACCAGCAGGCCAGTTCCTTCCCACAACAGACACAGCCTCAAAATCAGTGGCAGCCCCCACCACCTCCAGATCCAGCTTACAACCATCACGTTGCACAACCATCTTATGAAACTCCACAGATACCACAGCCAGCCCAAGCCCCAAATCTCAACCAGCAGTATCCTCATGTGCAAAACCAACCCGCTCAGGAGTCGACTTCATCCAGCCAAACTAACCCTGTCTCATCAAGCCCCTATGAATCACGTCCAAACAGTCAGCCAGTCTCGCCAATATCGAATCGACCCAGTCTCAGCTATCCCCCTGGGCAGAATCCGCGCTATAGCCGTGCCGACTCTATAAACTCCGTTGCTTTCGCCAAATATTGTGCCCAACGTGCTGAAAACAAAACGGCGTCTCCAAAACCTACTCTACAAAAGTTTTCAACGCCGCCTCCACCGCGTGACGACAAGTCAACATTCAGTGCATTGGCCGCTGGCGGCCCTTCGGATTGGGAGCACTTGGGTGGCAGTGAGGAGATTGATGACGAAGACCTTTTTCGTACGAAGCCGGAGAGAAAAGGAACTGAGATTTCCCAACCAGATAGCATTGAACTGCCAGCCCACGTTCCATCCCCTCCGTCAACGCACGGCTTTCCAAGTCCTGCAGTATACCCCACACACCCAGGATCAAGTGATTCAGTAGACAGATACATGCCTACACCTCCTTCCGTCGTGGCACATCCCAGCGAGCGACGTTCGCCAAGTTCCACACCAGAGGGTTTCGTCGTAGAAGATGCGATCGTGGCGCCGTTGAGAACTACCCCTAAACCCACAGAGAGTACACGGCATCCTCGAGATCGGTCCACAGGAGCATCATCGCCCTCGAATCAGCATACCCCAGTTCAATCAAGATTCTTGCACGAAGCGCACTCAAATGGTATGGCGAGCCCTGCTGGTCCCGGTTATGCCGCAGAACTCAAGGCAAAAGACGAGCTCATCGATCAATTGCGGGCAGAGCTGCAACAGCAGACTGATCAGCGCCGTACCGAGTCCGAGATGTTCAAGGCTGAAAGAGAGAAATTTGAATCTGAATTCGAGGCCGCAAACAGCCACGCAGCGGATGAGCGGGATGTTCTGTTAGCGCAACTTGAGAGCATGAGGTTGACAGCAGATCAAGCTAGTGCTAATTCTGAGGCCGTGGTTAAAGAGAAAGGTCTAACTATCGACAGACTGAAAGAAGACATGGAGGGGAAGGAGAATAACCTCGAAGAGCGTGACAACACCATTGCCGAGTTGAGACGCCAACTCGAAGACGAAAAGACGAAGGAGCTGCCGAAGCCAGCTGCAGCAGATCTCATTCCAGACCTTGATCCGTGGTATGTAGGCTCATTAGAGAGGTACATTGCTATGCTCCGTAGCGAGGCAATGGAGCCACAGGTCCAAGAAAAGATGAAGATATTCAAGACTTTTGTCAAAGCTGAGGCGGGTTTCAGAGGAATCTCACTTTTTGACGCCCTGCCTCAAGTGCCAACAGTTGAACCAGCGGCTTCGATACAACCTGAGCGAGATTCGGAACCCCACAGCAACTCAAATAGCTTTAATGCAAGACGGGATCTAAAAGTGCAAGTCCTGCCGGACACAGCGCAACATGATGACTATGATTATAGTCCAGGCGGAAGGCCCATCATATCGCGGAAACCAACATTACCTCTTATGGATATTCCGCAGATGCAGCCCCAAACTGCGCCTTCTGTGCAATCCACCACTATTCTGACCCCAACAAGCTCAATCGATGATGACATGAACAAAACACCGATTCAGTCTCATCCTGAAGAACCGTCACAATCACAATACAAAGCCTATGTGCCACCAATCAGAAACCCTGAAGACCCCCCGCCCTTGCGACATAGGCAAACGATGTCTTTCATGAACGTACCAAGCGGAGTTTCGTCATCAGGCCTTCACAAGGGTCATGATGAGATCTTCTTTGGAGCAGGTGAGCCGAATACTCATGCGAACAATCCTCCCCATGGTGAGAGCGATGATTCTATTCCCCCATTGAATATAAAGTCACAAGGCCAAACCTCAGTCACACCTCCGCACGAAAACGATCCCAACAAATACCTGGCCAGACTTCTGCCACGACAGCTTGAGGGTGGACCCAGCCGTCAAATCCAGAAGCTCAGAGCCAAACTATCAGATGTAGCAAACGGGCTTGTCAAGATGGAAGAGCTTATGGGTACATGGGAAAAGACAACATCTCTCAACCGGCGGAAAAATGACGATGCACGTCGGAAGCGCCAGGAAGAGAACGAGGAGCACAATGACGATCTCTTCAACAATGATGAAATCTCATATGCGGAAATGAAACAATTGGAAGAAGAATTCAAGAAGAAGGAGGTAGAGCTGAAGACACAAGAGGTGCAGGAGGAATACAAGAGCTACATGGAGACCGTGTTCAACCCAGTCTATAACGGGCTTCAAGCAGAAATCAGGCAGCTAATGAATCTATACGACGAGGCCCAGCATCTCCTCCAAACGTCCGTGTCCGGTATCAAGAGTCTCGAAGGCGGCGATCCCCCCAGCACTGAAGACTGTCTCGAGTTTCTAGAAGAAATATACAAACAAGCCGAAAAGCGGCACGAAGGCATCGTCCGCATCGTCGCCGAGCGCGACCGCCTTTACAAGAAAACCGAGGTCCAGCCCCTCTACGCCGCCGGCAAGATCAGCGCAATGAAAGACCTAGAAAAGCATTTCGAAGCCGCAGAGAAACAGGCTGTCCTTAATGCCGAACGCGAAAAGGAACGACGTATCAGCCATCTCGTCAGCTTCGTAGAAGACTTTGTCGTTGATGCCCTGAGCACCGAACACAACGAGATCGACAACATACTTGCTGCTATCAAGCGTCTGGATGACAGCACCGGCAACGCAGATACCCTTTCCCATGCGCACTCTGCCCTAGAAGCCCTCAAACACTCTTCCAAGGCACTACTTTCTCTCTTCAATGACCTCGAAATCGAACTTAACAGCGCCGCCGCAGACGCCGCCATCGCGCAGGCCGAAAGCGACAAGAGCGGTGCGGCGCGGGTGCGCGAGTTGCAGGCTGAGAAGAAGGAAGCAGAGAAGAAGTTGGTAGATGAGTATACGCGCAGAGTAGGGGTTTTGGAAAGTGATGAGGGGGCAATTAAGGAGTTGGTTGAAAGGAAAACGCTCAAGGAGAAGAAAGGGAATGGAGACGGTGGTAAGGAGGAGCGATTGCGTATGGCGCTTGAAGAGGCGAAGAGGAGGAATGGGCATGCTTGATTGAGATATTGAGGATTTGAAAATCAAATTGAGTCTAATGATGGGAAACATTTTGATATAAACAGCCGGAGGGTTGGGGGTGGAATGTTTCTTTTTTTTTTATTTCAAGCGCTCTTAAAATTCCTGCCATCTCCAACTATAATTTAGTAGCAGTTACTAATTACCCCCAAGAAATAATCAAATTCGATCCTAATCACGGACATTCTTCCTCGCCCGTCGTTGCCACGTGCAAATGCGTCCTCCGATCAATATCCAGCCTCTTCTGAAAATACTCTCCAACCGCAAACTCGCCACGCACGACGCCGTCTCGGCTGCTCAAATGCGGCAAAACACTCACGCGGGCATCCTCATTCGGGCTAAAGAAGAAGGGCATACTGTAGCGCTCCTCGCCGCCCATGTTGCGCACGCGATGCACAGTACTCTGCCAGGCACCGGCGGTGAGGAGCTTGAGGAAATCGGCAATGTTGACGACAAAGGCGTTGGGTTCGTGCTGCACGGGGACCCAGATGCCGTTTGGGTTCAAGACTTGGAGGGCTGGGTACGCAGTGCGGGACTGGCAGACGAGGGTGAAGAAGCAGAAATCCGTGTGTGCGCCTATGCCGACGTCGGCGGCGCTTTGCTGCGGGGGGTAGTGCACGGCGCGGACGTTTGTCAGGGGGTGCGTGGTGATGTTGTCAAAGTGCGTCTCCGGGAGGTCGAGGGCGAGGGCGAAGATGCCGAGGAGGCGTTTGCTGAAGGCGAACATGGCGCGGTAGTAGCGGTAGAGGGCTGGGCGCCAGAAGAGGGCCGACGGGTGCGTGGGCCATTGGTTGCGTGGGGTTTGGGCCGAGGGCGAAGGCGGAGAGGAGACGAGGGAGAGTTGCTCGGGGTCGGTGAAGTCTTCGCCCATGAGGAAGCCTTCTTTGAGATCTATATTGGGCAAGGAAAAGGGGGTTGTGAGGATCTGGTATGGGAAGAGCAAAGTGTGGGTGTGTGTGTATGCTTACCACCTCGTGTACTGGGATCTAGTTTTCCCTCCAGGAATGCCTCGTAGCCTCTGAACTTGTCCGTCTTTTGGTTGTGTGTTTCCATTTTGACGTCGGTGGGGAGGGCAAAGTATCTTTCCAGGGCGGCAAAAGTGTCTAGTAGCATTTCTTCGTCTACGCCATGGTTGACTGCGTAGAAGAAGCCAATGTCTCGACAAGCAGCGCCTACTTCCTTGGCCAACTCTTTTCTATCCTCAATCTTGTCCGAGTATATCCGCCCAAAGTCAATTTTGGGTAGTGTACTGAATGTCTCTTTTGCTGCGGATCCTTTGAGCACCCGCCGTCGACCCGGTACGCCGCCGTCATGGTAGTGAACCCAGGTTTCAGACTGCGTTTCTGTTGCTGTTGTAGTATTCGACATGGTTGCTTATGAATTTACAGTTCAAGATATCCCAAATCTGCTCCAAATACAGTATGATTCACGGATACAAGTGGTCGCGGCAAATGGAAACGTTTATACCATATGTACAAAGCAACAGACGGAAGGGACCGCAACCACATGCACTCTCCCCACCACCACCACTTACCATCACTATCATCATTATCTATCCCACCGGTTGCTGTAGTCATGAAGATCCCGCAGGTGCAGGATCAGAATTGCTGTATCAAGCCAATTGGGACAGACCACGTCGTGGGGCAAGGCGTAAGTATTGTGGCAAAAGCGAACCACACCTACATGAACTGTAAATCCCCACCCCTCAGGCCAGAGGACGGGTGGGACGTAATCCAAGACATTGTTACATAGACCGCCGCTGCATCTTTCGGAGAAGAGCGACTGGGTGGGCAGACATGCCCTTGCTTTCATGAATCCTGATCCTGATGCACGGGCGGAGGGGGTGTCTCGAGCAGGCATTGACCGATGGGCGGGTTGAATGTAAAGTGGGTGGTGTGGACAGTTGAGCTGCCAATGGCGGTATGCAAGCTGCTTCGCACACCGCGGAGAGGGTTGAAAGAGGCCAGAGCAGGTACGGGGAGGAAGGGCCCTTGAATAAAGTACTCGTCAGTGCTCTTAAGTGTATTTCTCATCTTGTAACTTGTGAATAGTGTCTTTGCACCGCTTCTTTCGAACGTGCTTTCGGGCGGACGCCGCCGTCTGCAGCCACGGCACTTTGCCGAAGAGACCCTTGCCCGAGTGCTTGGTCCTACCAGGTAATCTTTACGCCAATGACGAAACTTCCAGATTGGTACAGCATATCGTTGCCCATCGGAGTTGAGCGCGCTTGGACGGCTTTATTCGACTATACATATCCCGTGCAGGCACTAGCGCTCTGTAGAAGGGGGGTTACTGGTCCTGGCAGTTGTATGCGTACGACTCGGTAATTTATGACTGTATAATACGCATTGATACTATAAGTGGACAGATGGCATATTAACAAGACGATTCATTAATAACGCGGTGTGTAGTGGATGAAGGCGGCACATGCGTCAGAAAGTACGTAGGATTTATTGCCCCACAGTGGGTAAAGCGTCATGAATCCCCGCCTCCCCGCGCCCTCGCTCTTGGTCTTGGGGGCCGTGGCCCCAAGATCCCTAGACTTAGGCTTGCATCTCAAAAATAGTAGCATGCCGATGCAAACGCGATTCAAATATGCATAAGTGGGTCCTCTGGGAATAAAATGGCATCCGTGTGTTATGTATCATGTGGACTTTGGAAAGTTTAGAACAAAAAAAGAACAACTGGCGTAACACCGCGAACAGATAACACGTTCATGTATTCATCGATCGTGCTTCGATAGTGAGGCGATTTGCAGATCGTTCGGGGTAATAACTAAAGTAAAACTCCTTTTTTTTTTACCCATCTATTACTTTATTGAGAATAGCCAAAACCCCCCTGGGTATATTGTGAAATGCAAAAAAAGAACCAACAAACAAAAGCCGCAGTTGAAGCTTCGAGGGACACGCAATTGACGCTGACTGCGGCATTTGGCAAAGTCTATTTCTTTCCTAGCTTATGCAAGAGATCCTTGCCCTTGCCTAACAGACCCTTTGCAGCACCGTTGTCGTCGTGTTTGGCTTCGTCGCTCTTCTCTGGTGCAGATGCGTCATTGCTGATGACGTTGGCTGCACCTCCTCGGCCGTAGTGTTTGGGGCCTGTAGTCTCTGGCTGTGGCGAGCCCTCGACATCTTGAGCAGCGCGCGCAATCTCGGGGTGCTCGGGGTCGTTGCGGGCCATGTTTCCAGTTCCACCTCGACCGGTGGTGTAGGTGTCAGACTTGAGTGTCGGTGTGACGAGGTCTTCTGGCTTGGGATAGTTTGTTGGGTCGTCTTTTGCAATGTTGCCTTGTAAGGGGTCAGTACAGGCAACGAGAAAATTCTGATGCAGCAAGCGACAGCCGGTATGCGGCCAGGCTCCCACACTGACTGGAGCCTGGATGCGCTGCATGCAAAACTTCTCAGACTCAGCAGCCCGTCAAGCTGACGCTGCGAAATTGTGCTGATCAAAGACTCAGGAGAATGCAAGTAACTTACCAGCACCTCCGCGTCCGTGTGAGGCCACGCGCTGGTTATCCGTCGGTCGAGTTGCCATGTTCAGGGACGATTGGGTCAGAGAGAGAGAGAGCCCGTATGCAGAACTGGAGGTCGCAAGATGGTGAGGTAGCGACTGGCGCAAAGAAAAGGAAATCAACAAAGACCCAAGGTATGAGGCGATGGAAGCCACCTAGCACGTCTTATATTACACCCTCGCTTGGCTTTGTTTGCCAGCAGTAATCTGGGCGTCGACTCAAGACTTTTCGAGGGCGCTGGTCCGGTTCGCGCCAGGAGGACCATATTTTCTCGAGCACCATTGTCGTTAGCACCAGTAGCCTTGTCGGGCCTGGGCACAACGCGCCAAACGGTGCTCAACCTTGTGTGATTTGGCGGCGCCTTGCCCTCTGACCTGTTAAATCTTCCATGCTTTGTGCGTGCGTGACTCTTTTTTGGGGTTTCTGTGACTAAATTTTTAATTCATGGGGCGGGGTCGACAAGCCCAGGCGGGGGGGAATGCTGTAGTCTGCGATGAAGTGACACGGCTCCAAAACCAAGCGAATGTGGGTATATGTAAGTAGGAGAGCATTTCTTTGGTACAAAGAAAATCAGGGTGCACTAGGGTTTTTAACGGTGCCATGATTGCGAGTACATGTTATCTTGAGTGCCAGCGCGTGACGCAACCAGCATGCATGTACGTACGCAGGTGGGCGTGTAATGGCATTACCATCTTTGCCGAGGCCGTAGGCGGCAGCGTGGGGGAACGAGTACGAGAACGATGCACCAAAGGTTCCACTTCTCCTCCACCACCACCTCAAACTTGACAGCTCCATTGCGCAACGTGTATTTGTATTCTTGTTCTTCAGATCGTGCCGCGTTACATGTTTTCTTGGGGGCGCAAAGTTTCAACACGATCGGCAGTAGCATGTTTCAAGCTTGATGTTTTGTATTGTTCTAGCGGTTACGCAAACCGTTCTTGAACTATTCGGCTAACGACGCTGAAAGCTATAGTACAGTATAGGAAAAAAAACGCTTCTCTAAACTTCATGAAACGATCAATCAACCCGGCTTAAATCTTAGCGATGCATATCCCACATGGTGATCGTCCTCGCTTCTTCATGTGACAACGCCGTCAATGCATCCCAAAAGAGATTGCTTCAAAAACCCAAATATACCCTCGCGTCCGCGTTTCGCAAAAGACAACAAGGAAAGTCCAAACGCCGAAGATGTATTCCAATGTACAGGGTGGTGTGACAGGCCGTTGCCGGAAATCTAATCGCTCAAATAACGAGAAAAAAAAAGAGTTGTTGTACAGTGCGTGTAAGAGGTGTTGGTAGATAGGTCTTGTACGCTGGTCCGAGGTCATTGACGAATGCAATGGGGTCGGATAGTCCAATTAGAGGAATGATTGGATGTTTGAACTGAAGCATGTTAGAATGCCTTGATGATGATGATGATGATGCTAAAGGGCCGGACGTACTTGGACGCGAGAATGCTGGTGTCATTTAACCGCCATCTCGTGGCTGAGGGCCGTCGCCGGCCATTGAGCACAGCATTGCTGAAGATTGTCTTAGTCGAGCACCTGGGTGAGGAGCTCCTCCGTCTCTGGGTTGGGGGTCGCCGTAGGAGAGGTTGAGAGTTTGCATGTCAAGTCTCATGATGATGATGTTGGGTGTGGTGGTAGTGCTGGTTGTATATGTGTGTGTGTTCAAGCTTTAGTGTGAAGATGTGTGTGCAGTATTAATATTTGTATTGTAGTGATGTGATGGTGGTGGTAATAAGATACAGTCTAGAGAGAGTACAAGAGTATATAAAGCATCGAAATCCTGAGGCCTGTCATAAAACCAGCAGCCTACAAAAACAGGCAATGACTGCCTTCTCCAGGCGGTGACGCAGAGGACCATATGGTGTATTCCGCCCCAGGTGATGGAATTGGACTTGCAAAGGACGATAGACTGCGCCCTGTGCGGGAAGGCAGGGCGGGCGTTGATTGGCCGGAGCCCTGACGAACAAGGCGACCACCAGGCTGCAAAGTCGAGTAGCGGCATTCTAGAAGACTCAGAATGCAGTCACACCGAGGGTGACTGGTTTAGTCGACCGGGAGTGCTGCGCAAAAGCGCCGGCACCCAAGTGCGCATTCGTGGGCTAAGGCAATATTCGCAGGCAGAAAAGGGCGCTCGGTGGGGCGTGTGAATGGTGAACCAAGGTTCGTTGCCTGGGCCTGGTGCAAGCGGCGGCCCCCAAATCCTGCACAGCCGCAGCAAAGCCACTGAGCCGTGGCAGACACGGCAGACTCGAGGCACTCTGCGAGTTTGGCCCCGTTGATAAGTAGGGAGCGGGCAGCCCCCAAGTGCTCCGGCGAGCGATGAAGAGCAAGTTTTGGGTTGCTGCAATGGCGGCAGATTCGGTCACCGGATCCTGACACAGCCCGTGGCAGCAGCAGAAGCAGCACTTTCCGCATTGGGCGGCACAGTGCTGCGCCCCGAAGGACCATGTCGACGCGAGATACGCATCCAGGGCGAAGTAGCGGAATGCCCGGCAAACCGCAAAAGCGCGCGCAACAAGATGGTGGTGGTGACGAGGAAATGGAAGTCGCTTGCTGAGACAAAAGGTATGGTGGGCGTGCTGAGGTGCAGGGTAATTGGGGGTGTTGATTGGGCATGGTGGCGCAGCCATCCATTCATTTTTCCCAATGGGGAATTGGTTTTCCTGAGGCACCATGTCAGTCACAGGAGCTAAGGACGACGAAGGACTTTATTTTATTTTTTGGAAGGGGGTGCGGCTGCAACTTACTGCCACCGTCGCCAGGGGGGCCGCTGCCATCGGGCATCTTGGGCTTGTTTGTGGCGAAGAGCATGGTTGTGGTTGTTGTGGTTGTTGTTGCTGGTGAGATGGGGAGTGAAGTGGTGGTAGTAGTAGTAGTAGTAGTAGTGCAAGTATGGTGGTGATGGATGCGAATGTCCTGATTTGGGCGGGCGCAAGAGTGTTTATGAATGGAGACGGGACAAGACTATGTCTGAGACTTTAAGATTGACAAAGGCGGCCTTTTGGGTTTGTCGAGCAGCGGTGCAGCGGGAGTATCAGTAGTTGTGACAGTGGACCGATAGTTGGGACATATATATTTAACTCGCAAAGTCATGGTCCTTCAGCATCACCATGGACTGACGTCTACGCTTGGCCATGCCATGGGCTCGATGATGCATTCACGGGGCAACGGACGGGCCAGACGGGCACCCAGCGAGTACGTGGCCCTTTTCGGCGCAAGTCTGGAGCACATGTCGGGCGAAGTGAAGCAATTGCACATTGCTTCTCTGGGATGAGTCTTGTGCGGTGGATGCGAAAGGGGATGCAACAAGACAGAGCCGGCGCCCCCACTCTCTGGGGGTGAAACAGCCAATCGCCGCCCGGCTGAGCCCGCCCGGCGTCTCAAAGCGTCGTCGACAAGACGGGCGCCCGTGCGCGGATAACATAAGCGGTCGCGTGTTTGTGAGGAGGGCCCTGCTGACGAGGCTGGGCTGAGCCGCTTGCTTCACTCTCCACCGCGCCCGTGTCATGGACGACGACCATCTGCCACGGCTCCCAGCCCGCCACGCCCGTCTTTCTAGATGCCTTCTCCTTTCGTGCCATGCCGTCATAGGGCCACCGCGCTGCCCTGGAGCCCTTGAGCCCTTGAGCCGTCGTGTGCTCTTGGGCCTCCACCAGTGCGTTGTCACTCGCCTTCTGGCCAGCCAACCCCCGACCCCCCCTCGGCCCGCCTGCGCAGCCAATGCAGGTACATTATCCGCTGCATCCATCACACACCTGCCCACTCATTCGATCCTGACTGCCATTCACACCCACCACCGCCCGCTGACGTTCACGGGCGCAACAAATGTCGTGCGCCGTGGGTCGCCGGCCATGGGTCAGCGGTGGCATGTGCTGCGGAACTCAGCTTGAAACCTTCCGTCCAGGGTTTCGCCCCTACACACTCTGTCCTAATGTTTGCGTGGCCTCTGCCATTGTGCTCTGGGCCTTCTTCGCTGCCTGCCTGCTTGCCTGCCTGCCTTTGCGCCTAGACGGCACTACCTCCTGAGACAAACTGTACTTTGTGCTGTAACATAGTCGTCGGCCTGCCAGGGGCGCAGGCTAGGCACAACCTTTCGCCTTCTGGACCGTCCGCCCCGTCCCAGAATAGCCCCAGCCTACCACGACGGTGCCCTGGACACTGCCCTTGCTCCTCACTGCCCTTTGGTTGCCTGTGGTTGCCCATGGTGCAGAGCACGTGAGACCTTCAATTGCTCACCTCGCCCCCGGCCAATGCCTAGCCGTCTCCTAATGTTTTGCCCGCCCTCTTGCGACTCTCAATAAAACACCACGCTTCATTTACTCGCTCTGCCTTCCCCACTAACGGCCTTTGTTTCGCCCATCAGGGGCAGAGCCTAGAGCTTCCCACTCCACGTGGCAGCCGTCTCCCATTTGCATTTGCATTTACTGTGTACATTTGGTCGTTGCATTGGCATTGCCATGGCCCGTCTGCATAACCCAACCCTCTCACTCTCTTCACCACTCCTATACATAGCAAGTGTGAGCTTTGCTTATGCGACCGCCACGGCGTCTCGCTCCACGTTCCTTTTGGCGAGTTGCCGCAACTTGTCATTTTGCTTCATTTCCCTCCATGTCCTGCTGCCACACTCGTCATCAACCAGGCCCGAGGCCCGGCTCGGCCTTTGCTTCTTTGCCTCTTGCTCCCCCGTGCTGCCGTCTATGATGCATCATTGCGCTTCCCACTGCTCAACTCAATTCAAACTTGGCACACGCAGCTGCAAGGCCAAGCTGATCCGCACAAACCCGCCAGACACGCTTCTTCCTGCTGGAAACATTGCCCTGTCCCTAACGCCTTCCCCGTGTGATGTAGTCGATAGAGGGGCTCTAGCTGCGGGGCGATCAATCTGGTGCCATGTCGGATCGACCAGACCCTGCCGCCAGGCCCAAGCCGTTAACCGTCACTGCTCCACCTCAGCTGCAAACAACCCTCTGCCCCCGCGACCACCACGCGAAACTTCGCTGGGCCCAGGGTATGGGCTAAATACTTGTTGAACAAGATCTTTCGAGGAATTTGTTCCTCTCCACCTCAACCATGCCGCCAAAGTCAAACTTCAAGCGGGCCATGCCCCATACGCAGCCGTCCATGCTGGCGTCGCTGCGCACCACGCAGCTCGTGGGCGACTCAAAGGCCGTACTACCTGCAGGTACGAACTGCCCAGTTCATGGGCTCACTCGTCTGACCATGACTTGCAGAGCTCATCAACACCATCCTCGACTATCTGCCCGTCGCCGACATGTTCAACTTTGCGCGCACCTCGAAACGTATGCGCGAGATGGTATACGACGACACAAGATGGCAGCAGAGACTGAGGAGCATGGGTTGCTGGAACGAAGCAGAGGCCAAGCAGAGGTTTGAAGAGGCCATGAAGAAGAAGTTGCAGGCACAAAGAGCAGAGGATGCACGCATAGCAGGCCTTGTACCCAATGGCAGCACCAGCTCCATGGCACCGGGCAACGACCACGTGGGCAACACCAGCATGACTCTCTTTGATGCTGCCATAGAAGAGGACATGCTGCGCAAGTCCCAGGACCACCAAGGCCGACCCCGCTCCACGACGCTCGACAAAGGCTTCAACGACATGACCCTGTCGGCATCTGGAACACTAGCCCCAAGCTCCTACATTGTCGACCCACAAGCTGCCGTCAAAGTACTGGCGAACGTGCGTTCCATACGGGGCATGGCACGGCAAGAGTATGGCAAAGTCTATGGTGCCTTGGCTCCCTTTTACTACGACATTGAGAGGTCGCGAAGCCATGCCGATCCTATATTGTTTCGAACATATCGTGACCCGGAGCAGCAAGCCCAGATGCTCGCCCAGCTCAAGGTATTTGCAAAGAGCGACTATGCTCAAGGCTGGCATCAGCGCGAGGAAAAGCTCGATACAATGACTGGCATCTTCGAGAACGCCGTGCTTCGCGAGTTCGAGCAAGGCTACGCCGAAAAAGATTTTGATGGCCGCATGAAGCGGTTTGCATCAGTCTTGGTAACCTTGAATGGCGGTGCAGCATGTTTAGACTCGTTTATCCACAATCACCCGTTGATGTTGGACAAGGAGAGGCTCGGAGATCCCTCCGATTGTTTGCAAGGTGATGAGGTGACTTTGAAGCCGTCGCATGAATTTTTCAAAGGCCTAGCTACCGAGCTCAATAACGAGGCTGCCATCATTGATCGTGTTTTTCCGCCTACAGTCGACGTTCTACAGACCTTTTTAGAGCGTGTTGCAGACGACGTCATTGCAGAGTACCTCACAACTCTTTTTGACCAGGCTCATGACGTGAGCATCGAAGCCTATTTGAAAACTGTCGCTGGCATTTTCGACCAAGCGCTGCAGCTTGCAGTATCCCTGCATCCCACCAAGGCCTCGAAACCTGATTTCCAGCAAGAGGCGATTCGCATCATAACTCGGTGTTTTGAGCCTCATGTCGATCTTTACCTGCAAGAGGAGTTGGACTATTTCAAACGCAAGTCGGCGGCAGAGGTTGATGCGTGGGAGAAGCGACTGCTAGAAGAAGAGCTAACGACTGAAACTCGGTTCATGGCAAACGTGAACCGGAAAGCTGTCAAACAGGATTTTCTGTCGTCGTTCAAAAAGGTAGTCATGATGCCTGTCAATGTGCTGCCCACCATGGGCGGCTCAGGTTCGAGTAAATCCAGCGCAAATAGAAATAGCACCTTGGATCCGACCTCGAGAAGTGGCACTCCGATCCCTGGCGATGGGACCTTGACCCCACGGATGGACGCTCCGACGACTGAACTTGCTGCCAAGGCGGCCATTATGAACTCACGGTTAGAAGGAATTCGATCCCTTTTCAGCATAGAGGTTGCCCTCAATCTGACGCATATGGCCAAGGCCAGTCTCGAACGTGCTGCTCGATTTGTCCAGCTTGGTGGCCAGTCTGGTGAAGAGGCAAAAGAACAGTCGGAGCAGATTTTTATTCACCTTGTCCAGATTCTCGGCAACCGTCATATGAAATTAGGGTTCGACAAGGCTGTCAGCCATCTAGCGGATTACAAGCCGAGAGAGGTGGCGGACCACAGCCAAGAAGGAGTTGCACCACTCGTGGCTTTCCTCGAGCTTGTCAATGTCGGAGACCTTATACAGCAGATGGTCGAAGTCTTCTATCTCCAGGAGCTTGTTGCTGCTAATCTCACAGACCGAGATGATTTTCTTAGCCTGGCAGCAAAAGAGAAGAAGCGATTTGAGGCTCAACTCGACGAGAGCGTGGCCGCAGGTCTCAACAAAGGTATTGATGTGCTGATGGACGAGGTCGAGTACCTTTGTGGCACGACACAGGATCCGACCGATTTCAACCCTCCGACTGGGCCCAATGGTGTGGTTGAGATGTCGGACATTGGGCCGAGCCAAACAGCACTCAAGATTGTCGAGGTTGTGTCGTCGCACACGAGCATGCTCATTGGCAGCACAGACAAGAACGTGCTTGATGTGTTCAACCAGGAAGTAGGCGTGCGCCTGTTCACTGCTCTTTGCAAACATTTGAAGCGGCAGAGAATCAGTGTGGATGGCGCCATCAAGCTCATTAGGTAAGTAGCACTTGGGCTCTGGATACACACGGGGCGTCTACTGACTATGTGCAGTGACATGAATGCATACAACACGTACATTGTCTCTCTGCGCAACAAGCCGCTCATCCAGTACTTTGCTGCGCTGCGCGAGCTCTCACAGATATATCTGATTGACGCGAAGCAAGCCAAAGAGATTGCCACCATCATTGCGGATACAGACCGGTATCACGGCATCTTCCGAGCGGAGGAGGTGTACGAGTTTGCAGAGAGAAGAGCGGACTGGTATCAAATCAAAAGCGCAGTGGAGAAGCAAATGTACGGAGTGGGCTGCTGGGTCATGTGAGGACTACCGCTTCTAGACGAGTATGTGCTATGCAGTCTGCCGATAGGGCACGTGGTGCGAGAGAGAAAAGTAAAATCCAAGCCGTTTGTTTGGGGTGTGTGCATGTGTACGAGGACAAATATGGCGTGCGTATAAGCAGTGTATGGCAATGTACACGAGATGACGGGCTGATGTGTTGGCTGGGTGGATGGGTGAAGGCGAGGGCGCGGTAGTGTTTGGGGTTCCCCAGCCTCCTCCTCCAAGGTCGGGCCGTACCTGACTAGACCGCGCCCGTGCATGTACGTCCTCACACCTCATCGCGCATGCCTCGATTGTCGCACTCTGCCCTAGTGCCAGCCTCTGTATCCAGCCAACCTCTGCGACGGTGTCCTCTGCTGCATCTCCGGCTTCTGCGTATACACAAGCTGCATTCAACGCCCCTGTGCCACTCATCTGCTGTCCGTGACTGGACCCCGCCACGAGTCGTCGGCACAACGGGACCGCTCTAGAGGCTGCGAAGTGTTTGGCTGCACCCTGGCTGCTGTCTCTTAGCTGTCTCTGAGTCTGGGCCGCGACCACAATAGTTGCTTGCTGGGTGAGAGCCTGCTGGCGACGCTTTGGCTCCCCAACGACGCCCTGTGTAGACCTTCTGCGCCTGTTGCGCGAGCCCTCCTCTCACACGCTCCGGCTTCTGCATCTTGCAATAACTAACCGTGCTTCCCGCCCATCCATCTTGTAGCCGCGACTCTCACTACTCCGAGCAAACACCACAGCCATGTCGGGTAAGCATCCGCTCGCAGTCTGCCACGCGCCCACGACCGCATGCTAACATGGCGCATCAGACCCTCTCCCCGCAGAGGTCGAGGCCTCGTACTCGGTCATCATTGACGACATTCTTCGCGCGAGCGATATAAATACCATTTCTGCGAAGCGCATACGAAAGGGCCTACAGGAAAGAGTCGGCGAGGACCTGTCGCATCAAAAGGAACAAATCACCACGCTCATCATGCAGCGCTTCGACAAGTTCAACAGCGAGCAGAACGGCGCCTCTGACGTCTCAGAGCCCACGCATACGGTCGGGAACGGCACAAAGACATCCAACGGCGATATATCAGACATGTCCAACCACAAGCGATCGCCGCCCGACGACGAGTCTGTGCTGTCGGGGCCTGATGAGAACCCGCCACCCAAGAAGAAGAACAAGAAGACCAAAGTGAAGGATGAGGACGACGACGCGGCGTTTGCAGCCAGGTTACAGGCAGAAGAGAATGCGCGCATGGGCAGGGCAACACGGGGTGGAAACACGAAGCGGAAAGCGCCCGCGCCCAAGAAGAAGGCCAAGAAGAAGAGCGCAAACAAGGTCAAGGACGACGACGACAGCGATATTGGCTCAGGCAGTGGAGGCGAGAAGAAGAGCCCAAGTCGGAAAGGAGGCTTTCACGTCAGTTTGATCTCATACATCTTTTTTTTTTTCGTGACGCGAACCAAAGACCTAACTCATCTAACTCCATTTCGCAGAAACCAATGGCCCTCTCCCCAGCCCTGTCCGAACTCCTCGGCGAAACACAACTCTCGCGGCCCCAGACAGTCAAGAAGATTTGGGAATACGTCAAGGCGCGCGACCTGCAAGACCCAAACGACAAGCGCCAGATCCGCTGCGATGACGCTATGCGCGCTGTCTTCAAGCAAGACCGTGTCCACATGTTTACCATGAACAAGATTCTCAATCAGAACTTGTACGCTGTGGATGAGGTGGTGAATTAAAGGGTCGGTAGTAGTTTGTTTGAGTGGGGGGGCTGTCAAACCAAAAAGCTACATACACGACTATTTGCGTAGTCTAATGCTTCTCCCTATCTTTTTTTTTCGTTTCATCGTCTCTTATTCTTTGGTTTCCTTTCGTCCTTTTGAATTTGGATGTTTGTTTTTCTTGAGTAGCATGGCGTATTCACGGTAAGAGCGGTTTCATTCTTCTTCTTTTCAGCGCGCATCTTTCTTATGGCTTTGTTTTTTTTTCTCGCTCAAGTAGTAGGAGGATCGGGGGAGAGNGGGAGAGTGGTTTTTCACTTTGCCCCCTTTTTTTGAGTTATCACACTTCTTTATTTCTTTCTCCCACACATCTCCTTTAGCAAGGAGATGGTCAGGGGATAGTCAGGGGGTTGTTGATGCTCTACCAAAAAAATAAATAACATACATATATAGCATATTTACATATCGGGCGAAAAAAAAAGTGCGGATGGGAATTGGGAATCCATGTAAATGTGCAAGGCAGAGGTTGGGGGAAATCAGCCAAGTAAGGAAAGGAAAGGAAAGAGTAGTTGCGATATAAAGCAGTATGAAGCTGGCTTTTTTTTTCGTTTGAGTGAGTCAGTGAGCCTTTTGAATGGATAAAGTGTTTTTTTTTTAAAAAAAAAACAAGTATTGAATGCGTGTGAGGTAGTGATCCAGAGTCATGTAACGTCGATTTGCAGCATGGTTTTACGACATTTGCAATGTATCACAGTACTTTCACCAGAGACTCAAAAAAGCAAAGGTAGAAGAGGGAGATGTACACGTATGGCATGAATTCATACCACTCATACTCAAAGTTAACCCATTACAACTGAAGAAAGAAAGGCTAAAAAGAAAGAAAGAAAGACAAAGAAAGAGGTATCCAATATCCACACATACTCCAGCAGCCCCCAGAAAACAAGAACAGAAAAAAAAAACACATGTCATAGTTTAGTAATTTACACATGACTGAATGTTCTTCTACTGCTTCTTTTTTTCCCCCTTCTTCTTGTTGGAAAGCTCAGTTTCAGCTCGTCTCTACACTTTTCAAATATGCTAGAAGCCTTCTGGGAGCTGCAACTGGAACGCAGCGGCATCGTCATCTTGCTCGTCAGCGAGCGCGACATTTCCATGCAACTGGTTGCTAAAGTTTCTGGTCCACGCGTCATCATCTTCATCGTCGGAGTGGGCAAGCAGCAGCAACTCCATTTCACGCTCAAAGTCTTCGGCGGTACGATGCGGCTGCTCGTCCTCGGCGGACGAAACCAACGTGGCGTTGGTAGAGGTGGAGCTGCAGCGGGAAATGGGGCCTCGAGAGCGGCCAGTAGAAGCGCTGGTGCTCGCGCTGCGCACATGGCTGGTCGAGACGGGGCGCGCCATGGCAGAGAAAGGCGCGGGCTTGGTGACATTGGAGAGGGGTTTGCGCGCTGCTGCTGGAGCAGCACGTCCAGCACGGCCCTGAGCATAGCCAATTGTGTTCTTGGATACTACTGAAGTTGAGACCTGGCGAGAGGCTGTCATTTCTGTAGGCGTCTTTGCTCCTTTCCTGCCAAAAACTGGTCCAGTAGGTACGCGCGATTTGGCGGCTACAGTAGGAGCAGCGTAGCTGGGCTTTGAGGTTGGGAGAAGAGCGGCTGCTGCAGATCGGGCGCGTATAGTCGATGGTCCAGTTGGAGCCTTTCTAAGCGCAGAAACGGACGTTACTGCTCTGGGCGCTGCCTCTTTCTTCGGTTCTTTGATGCCATAGTATTCCCTCATCTCAGCGTCGTCCTTGGCCATTTGAGATGCAAAGATCTTCTCAAAATGCTCGTCGCGCTGCTTGCGACCTTTTTGGAGTTCCTCCTCAAACTTGCGCTGCTCGCGCGTGCGTCCGTCGTCCTCAATTGGGTTGTGGTAGGCCTGCCAGATGCCGCGCACCATATCCTGCTCGCTGATCCTGGGAATAGTCCAGTTCCTGGGGAGGTACTCGTCCATGTCATCCTCGAGCGGAATCTCCTTGGGAGGCATGTACTCAACTTCGGGCACATCATCTTCAGACTCGTGGGCGACTTCAGGCTGGTGGACCTTGACTTTTGGACGGCGTAGACGCGGGCTGAGCTTCTGCGTCTTTGCAGAGGAAAGTGGCGCTGGCGTCGCAAAGGCTTTAGATTTGGCATTGGTCGTTTTCATGCCCAAGGGCGCACGCATACGGGGTCCTAGATGTCTCAGTTTTGGTGAATGCATTACATGGCTATTCTGTCATACCGGCTGGAGTAACAAAGGCATTCTGGTCAACCTTGCCACCCTTGCCGCCTGTAAATAATTCGGCACCCTTGCCTTGAGTCTGCAAAAGCGATTTCGCGCCTTTGGTCACGGCATTTTCGTCGTTGAGCGGGATCTTGAAGGGCGTCTTGGGGGCTTTGTTTCCTGGTGTTTTGGCGTTGAATCCCTTGATGCCCGCGTTTAGCGACTTCGAGCCGCCGGCGGCATGCAAATGGCGGACGGCATTTTCCTGGTCGTTTGCTGCGAGAGTCGCCATAGCGGTGGTTACATTGAGCGAGTCGTGTGGGGGGCGGCGGGCGGCGAGCGGGGGTTGGTGGAGGGAGATAGTGTCGGGGTGGGTGCTTGTATGTTTACTGGCGGTTGCTGGGGCGGCGGCGGCCAAAGAGGGTCTGGGCTGGGTCAAAAGGGTCCGGGCGGAGGTAGTCCCTTTCGGCAGCGCTTGCCCGCATTGTCAGCTTGCACACCTCAACTGCAAGGCACATTTCTCAGACATCCACGACAACACACCTGCTCCGCTCCATTCCACTATATAAGCTGCTGACCTCTCCACCGTCTCCGCAGCACCACTCTACGCAAACACTCCTTCTTCCCATTCACACTCTACACACCGCCCGCCGCCATGGATCAGATCAAGAAGGTGAGTCGACGCATACCCCGCCAATGCCCCTTCCTCCCATGCCCAACCCTACCTCTGGTCGACGCCACATTCACACTCGTCATGCCTCAAATGAGAAACACACGCTAACATGGCCTTTTTGCACAGCGCATGGAAGCTCTCCGCGTCGAGGCGGATGAGAGCAGCGCCCGCGCTGAGGAGCTCAAGGCCAGGGTCAAGCAGCTCGAGGCCGAGACGACACAGAAGGAGCAGGAGATCACCTCGCTGACGCACAAGAACTCTGTGCTCGAGAGCGAGGTTGAGAAGCTTGAGGGGCAAGTCAAGATCCACAAGGACGAAGCTGGTGCAGGCGCTCAAGCCGGCACTCAAGCCGAGAGCCTCCAGCGCAAGATTCAAGTTCTCGAGGAAGAAGCTGAGGAGTCGGACAGGACGATCCGCGAGCTCAATGAGAAGTACGATTGCTCTCCTTTCCATGTCTTCCGATGGATGGCCTTCTGCCATTCCCACTGCCATCACCACTACTCACCCCCTCCCCCCCCCTGATCTGCGTGTACTGACTCGCTACCCCTCTTAGGCTCCGCCAAACCGACGTCAAGTCCGGCCACTACGAACGCAAAGTCCAGGCTCTCGAGCAATCCCGTGACCAGTGGGAATCCAAGTATGAGGAGATGGCCAAGAAGTACGCCGACACCAAGAAGGAGCTCGACGACTTCGTCAAGGAGATTGGTAACATCTAAGCTGGTTTTTTCTTGTTGTTGCGCCCTTGCGACTGTATTCAAATAGGAGACAAGGTGCTTTAGCTTACCGTGGGACCGTCGAGATAGAGGCAGATTTCACACACACACATGACATTCGCGTACAAACCCCCCCTACACTACCACTACTATACAACTGTTTCTTTCCTGCGGCTGCTTGCTGGGCGGGCCTGTTCGCCTTCTGTAATCCCCAAACAAATACAACGTTGGTGGTTCCCGCCAGACATACGTAATACCTACCTACCCCTTTAGAATAACACAGTGCGTTGGCTGCCGTCCATGATGAGATGTGTACTGATGGGGGGTTAGTTATATGACCCCCTGGATAATATAAGCCGCGGACATGTCCGGATGTAATTGTGTCAGATGTTTGTGCTTTATTGAGCAGACTGAATAAAGTTATGAAGGGTCGGAGAAGGAGGGGGTATCATTCTTTGTCTATTCCTTGCACAAAGCTCTCGAAAGCTCTGCCTGCCCACCACCAGCGTAAAACGCTCACAAGACAATGCAGAAAAAGGGAGAGTGAGATATCATGTCGCGTGTCTACTTTTTGTTCATCCTAGCCTCCTTTTGCTTCTTCTTCTTCATGCCCTGCTTGATGCGCTCCGCCTTTCTCTCCGTCTTGGTCTCGTACCTAAACTTCTTCTTCTTCTTCTTGGGCTTATCGCTATTCTTGGGCCACGCCTTTGTCCACACCTTCTTCTTGTTGCTGGCACTTGCCTCTGCCTCTGCCGCCTCCTGTGCTTTCTTCTTGGCCTCCTCGTCGTGCTCGTCGTCTTCGCCTGGCCGCGAGAAGCCAGACTTGGATATGTTTACGGTTTCCATGGTGACGGTTGTGTATTTGTCCTCGTCAATGTACTCGTCTTCTTGGTTGATGGGCTCTGGTTCTTGGAATCCTGTGAATTCTTCTTCGGCGCCATCTTTGTTATCGTCGTCATTGTCGGAGTCGGAGTCGGTGGAGCTGAGGTCGCCGTTTGCTTGCTTGACTAGCCGGTTTACTTCTTCAACGTGTTTTTCTAGGTCGGCTTTGCGCTCGGCACGGAGCTATTGTACCATGAGTTAGTTGCATGTTACGTTGTATATGCTGAGGATGCTGGGCGCTGCAAGCAATGCTGCTCTTGTGTTTTTCCAAACTAACAAAAAAAAGTCGAACACGTACTTCTCGTCTGAGCCTCAATTTCTCCTCCTTCTCGCGCTTCGCATTCTCCTCCTGGGCGTGTTTCTTTCGCTCGAGCTTGCGCTTGTGGAACCCGGTCAGGTACTCTTCGCGCGCCGCAAAGTCGAATTCGATTGTTTCGGGCGCGGTGACGGCGAGCTTGCGTTTCTTGTTGGGTGGGCCCATGGTTGCGTCGAAGGTTACAGGAATTAGCAGGACCTTGTGGAGACCAGGCTGCAGGATGACTGGTGCTGGGATGTTGCTGTCGCGCTGGTATTGCGACAGGCGGGAAAAGTGGTTGCGGAGTTTGCCAAAATTACCTACCTGGCAGGGATCTGGTAGGCATTAGGTAGTATGGGTGGAGCCGAGGCTGGTCCCGACCTTACCTAAACTTAGACCAAGACATCACTCTTACCACCATCACGATCGTGACACGCTAGATGAAATTATTGTGATTAGATTATCTACTTCAGTGGTAGTCATGGCTCTCGTTTCTCATTGATTGTGAGTATTGCGCTCAACGCAAAATAATAGGTGGAAACTAGAAAGACATCAATCGTGAGCATAGAATCTGCAACACCAGCCTGCCTGACTGGACACACGAGAAGACGTTCTCATCGTACATACATAGCATGTAGCCAGCTGGACCTATCCTATCGTTCTATGCATTGCCTTTTTCATCTTCTGAGTCATGGATACCAAGTATCTTCCTCCTCCATGAAAGTGACTCGAGATGTTTCTTCGCCCTGTGTGTAAGACACAATGCCGGATCAACACTCTGAAGGCCAGGCTCGCCAAACATAGCGAGAACCATCAAGCCCAGAAACGAGTGGTACATGTCCGGCGGGTCTCCGGTAACCTTGCCAAAGCCCCCGACTGCATGCTGTGTCTTGTCCAGCAACCACTTCTTGATGGGTTGCGAATCCACAACGTCGAGGTGGCCAAGTAGCTGCAAAGGTGTGCATGTCCAGTAGGCGTAGCATGTATCGGCAATCTTGTTGCATCTTCCGTTGACACCAACCCATTGCAGGTCGAAGTGAACATTGGGTCTTGCTTTGGAGCCCTCGTTAGCCTGCGTAGATGGATATGAGCCCAACTTTACAAAAGAGTGCGCGTCGTGACAAGTTTCTGGGGAATCGGTCTCGTCTTCCATAGTGTCTAGGCCATCCTCCTCGTCCAGAGTCAGAGTCTGTCGAGATACAAGCCAATGTAGAGTATTTTGAACATTGGACACTCCACGGATAACACCATCGGGCTTTTGCGAGGACGGCAATGGTAAGCGATTCAGAAAGGCAAGTGCAGCAATGGCGCAGCAAGTGAATCCGGCATGTGCTTCATGATAGGGTGCTTCGGAAATGCCTCCGTCGTAGCATTCCGATGCACGGACGCAGGTAACGAAGGCGTCAACATCGATGTCTGGGATGCCTTCGCATGGACCTTCAAGGTCGCCGCGTAGCATCCATCGAATGGCCGTGGCCATGTATCCAAACCTTGAGTCGTTGCCACCATGCACATAGCCACCCTCACCGAGCGTCTCACCAAAACTGCCCTCTGGTCTTTGCATCTGGACCAACCACGCCAAGATTTCTTTCCTCTTGACTTTTTCCAGATCATCGCCGAGAACAATCAACGTCAAGAGTGCGAAGAAGGTCCCCGGGATATGGGCAGGGTCCCAGATTTTGTTGTCGTCATTTCTGAGCTCGCCGTAGTTGGACCCCGGCCATGGGCGGAAGCCGCCCTCTGGCAGTTGGCAGCCATAGACCCAGTCGATGTGCCCTTGACGCTCCTTGGGGGACAGGGCTGCGTCTAGATCGCCCAGGATATCGAGGGCAGAGACGGTGAAGAGGGCGAGCAGCATGCGGTTGGAGTCATTGCTGGTGTAGAAATGGGGCAGCAGCGTCTTGAGGTTTCTGCGCCAGTACTTGATGTGGCGGGCATAGTTGAGTTGTGTGCTGTCGAGGCCAGAGGGAGCCATGACGGAGACGTACTGGGTTGAACCCAGCGTCTTTTGCCGAGCGAGGTGCTGGTGCCCCTGTGCAGCCTGCGAGTCTGATGGCTGCGGGGCTGTGGTTGCAAGCCAAGGCGGATGCGTGTGTGGGTGTGTGTATTTCTGCAAGGCTGAGAAGGATCAAGAGGGCAAGTGCAACCAACACCAAACTCGGCCCGTGGCGTGCACACACTCACGCTCACACACACACGCTGGTGGGGGCATACGCAGGCCGCCTGAGACGAACCAAGCAGTCGACTGTCGGGCAGGCGCTGGATGCAGACTGGACTAGTCAGTAGTGCTGGTGTGGTGGTTGCTGCTGCTGCTGCCGCGGTGGTGGTGTTGGGGCTGATGGGGTGTGGATGGTGCTAGCAACTAGTACTGTATGTACGCAGCCGTGTGTGTAGGCACGAGTACATGCTTACCATAGTAGTGTACCATGTCCCCTCCCCTACCAGGCCAGTAGGGCAGTGCAGCGCAGTGCTGCGTACGTAGTACGCACTTATTACTTGGACGGTAGTCATCAGCGGGCTGACCAGGCCCTGGCCGACGCAGGGGCAGCGTTAGGAGTCGGTCAATTGACGACGACGGTACGAGTACATATTTTAACCACTGGCCATGGCGACTAAAGGCCAAATGTCGGGCAAAAACCCTGGCCGGGCAGAGGCTGTTTGGCTGCTGGGCTGCCTGAGCCAGCCCTGTCACGAACAAAGGCTGCAGGGGTGGGATGCGACATCAGCTCTGCCACTGCGGCCGGCCTGCAAAAACCCCTCCTGAGGCGGCCGTGTGGTACCCTATTCTCCTATGTAACTTCACTCAGCCTGGCTTCTGCCCTCGCCCATCACGCGCACCTTGCCCCTTCTAGTCGTCACTCTTTCTCTGCCTGGGCCCTCCGCCAGCAGAAACGCCGCCGAAACGTCTGAGGCCGCGCAACTTTCTGCCATACATCACCGGGTCCGCGCTTGCGTGTTCGTTCCCCAGGCCTATCTTCTCCACGCTCACTACGGCCGTTGACCGACCACCCACCAACATCCCAATATTTTCTTTTCTCATACAACCCCACCCTCACGAGAAGTCACCAGTCGAGTGCTGCCTGCTTGCAAGCTGCCGCCATGAGTACCGGCTTCGCTGCGTCATTCTGGTCTAGCGACTATGCCGGAGGTATGCCCTGACGCCGCTCCCAACACCGCCCCGCCTGTGCTAACCTTGCAGGCTTGGGGGTTCTCTTTGGAAAGCTCCAGCAGGGAGTCCAGGAGAACCAGCAGATTCTGACCGTTGCCCGCATGCGAGCCGATGCCGAAGAGGTCTACGGAAACTCGCTGGCTGCCATTACACCAGCCACGGAGCGCATAGCCGGAGGCTTCAGTAGAGATGAGGGCGCCAGTGTGCGAAAGGTGCGTGTCATACACTACCTACCTATGCCCGTCCGCTGACCGCTGACCGCTGACCGCTGACCGCTAACCCTCACCAGGCCTACGAGGGCGTGCGCACTGAGATGGACGCGGCTGCCGCGAACCACAAGAAGATTGCGTCCAACATCCGGGAGCTGGTTGTGAATCCTTTTGGCCGCTGGTGCGAGGCGCACGCTGCCCGTGTCCAGAACTCCCAAGACGACCTGCAATCGCGCATCAAAATCCACGACCGTCAGGCCGACGCCGTCCGCAAGTTCCGCTCGCAATACTACAACAAATGCCGTTTAGTCGAGGATCTCGAGGAGGAGGACAAGCTTGCTTTCCAGGACCCCCAGAGTGAAGCTGCGCAGAGCCCAAAGGTCAAGGTGCCTACTATCAAGATGTCTGAGCCTGAGGACGAGGAAGAGGACCCCATTGATCTGGGCGATGAGACATACCAGCCCGACCAAGTCAAGAAGATCCTCACACATATGCTCGACAACATCAAACTCGGCGAGGTCAAAGTTCCCATCCTGGGCACCTACCAGAATTGCTCAACTGGTGCCGACATCACCGAGTACATCCAAAAACACATGGGTGCTACTACTGTCAGCTACGCCGAGCGCATCGGTCAAGACATGGTTACCCATGGCTTCCTGCGCCTGGTTGGCAACGTTGGCAATACGTTCGCCAACAGCTCTAGAATGAACTACCAGTGGAAAACCAAGGCTTTCCAGATTACCGGACTGCCTGAGAAGAAGCAGCCCATGGCACGCTCTTCCACTACCCTGTCAAACTCATCGGTCGATAGCATCTCCGTCGACACTCCTGTCGGAACCGTGCAAGAGTATCTGCAAGGATGGAACCCGCTCAACAACCAATACCCGAATGAAACACCGGCAGAGAGACTGAGGCGAGAGGCTCGTGAAGCTGATGAGCGATACAAGGCCTCGGTGAAGAAACTCGACTCCTTGAGGTGTAATTTGGAGGAGGCAATGGTGGATCATCTCAAGTTTATGGAGCGCTGCGAGCTGGACAGACTCAAGGCTATCAAAGCGGTTATTCTGGACTTTTCTGGAGCCGTCAGCAACGTCATTCCCAGTTTGCAAAGCACTGTGGACAAGATGATGCTTTTCCAAGAAACAGTGCAGCCGCTGGGTGATTTGCGGTACATGCTTGAGAATTACAGGACAGGCCCATTTGTGCCAAAAGTTATGACATACGAGAACTACTATAACTCTGTGGATGGTACAGTGCTTTCTAGTTCCGTTTTTTATGAGATACTGACAATCACGCAGAGCAAACATTTGGTGTAGATCTGGAGGCTCGCGCGCGCTCGGACAAGAAGCGTGTGCCAATAATCATCACTACCATACTTACTTTCTTGGACAACCACTACCCTGATCTCGAGGGCGACGAGGCCCGTCGGGGGATCTGGCTCGTCGACGTACCTCTGTCCCAAACTCACACGCTCAGATCCGAGATCAACACTGGCAAAAGATTCCCCGACGAACTGCTTGAAAAGTATGACGTGCCAATTGTTGCCAGTGTCCTCAAGCTCTACCTCCTGGAACTTCCCGGTATGCACTCTACGAGACAACTATAGGCTCTTTTACTGATTGCACTAGACTCGTTGGTTTCTTCCCATGTTTACGAAATTGTCAAGACCATTTACAGCACTACTGCAACTGACGTTTCTGAAGAGACAAGGATTTCTGTCATCCAGTCAACTCTTGGCCAACTGCGTCTTGCCAATATTGCCACACTAGATGCTATCTGCACACACTTTACCCGCCTTATTGAGCTGACATCGGCTGATGAGACGTACGTCACGGCACTAGCCAATACGCTCGCGCCATGCATCCTCAGGCCCAAACAAGAATCAAGTTTGACTATGAATGAACGATACAGTTACCGCCTGGTGCGCGATCTGTTTGCGCACAAGGATGCAATTTTCGGAGAGTTGAAGCGTGCCAGCACACTCACACACTCATCCTCTGGCGCTCAGCGCCCCCGTGCAATCTCTACAGATGAGAGTAACCGACGTGCAAACATGGAGGAGCGGCAACGTGCCATTGCTGCTCAACGGTCACCACGGGCAACCTCACCAGCGCCTGGCTCGCGAGTATCAGGATCTCACCGCCGAGACCGAAGCGCCACACGATTCCCAGTCAACACATCGTCACCTACTGATTCGCGAAAGGCCAATGGAAACCGTGGATCGCTTGAAGTACCCGGAAGTGATGATAGTTCTACCGGCGAAATAGCTCCTGCTACTACAAATGGTGCTACTGAGGCTGCTCCTGTCGAACACCCTGCGCCCTCAAGCACCAGGGTACCTTTTCCCCGGAAGACTGCTGGCAGCTTGACGAGAGGCAACAGGGACTCAACCGGTAGCATCAGAAGTGAAGACACAGCGCCTCGAGGCGTTACACTGGAGGACAAGCCCATGGACGACTAGTGGTAATCATGTTCTTGTCTTCAGATGTGCACATATATAAAATCGACACGAGAGTACCTCCTACTTGTATCACCCGTCATGCCCAGCGGCACACTTGCAGACTCAGCAAAAGACATGCTTTCGGGCACTGGATGGATACGGGCCCGGTAATGTAGGGCAGGTTGTATGACGGGCCTATTGACGGCAATCTCCAAAGATTTCACGCGTGCGTGAGGAGAGGATAGGCAGGCTGGTCAGGGTATCTAGGTGGTTCATGTATAATTTGAGATAGCAAGTGGGTGGGACATGTAGTGTTTTTGTACGTGGGATGCGGCACGATTGTCACGAGTCTACACGGCCACGGGAAATATGATTGTACTTACTTTCTGCCTTGGCTGTCAACCATGGTGGTGGCTTGTACCTGGGGCTAGCCTGTAGCCTGCACGCTAGCACACCGTTGTTACTTAGACGAGCCTAGACCTCGTCATCGTATGTACTCACATGTCCCGTTCCAAGGCGGAGCAGCATGAAAGCGACATGGGGGGTCAGCTGTGGCTGGGCATCGGCTGCCTGACCTCTACGGCGCATACTTATCCAACCTTCCTGTTAATATCCTCAAGCTTTGCTGTCTTTTTTTTCGCTTCTCCATCTGCCTCGTTTGCGCGTGCTTTGGTTGTGTTGTGCTCCGTCCGCGTCTTCGATCGGACAACCCCACGCTGATCGGCCCCCACGAATCACATTGTGATCGCAATCGAAACTTCCCACTTTTCGACTCTCGTCGCTGCCAGCGGATTACATAGCGAAGAGCGAGAAAGGCGCCATGTGTCTTGTCAAAGTTAAGCAGGAAGAGGACCACATAGTCCCTTACCGCGTGGTGCAGCGTGCCCGCTCTCCACCCCGTCGCCGTGTATCGCGACATTCGCGCGACATTGAACGCCGCTACTCGCGCAGTGAGGTTGTTCGCGACTCACCTCCACGGCCCTCGTCCTCCTATATTGCTGTGCCATCGCCAAAGCCTCTCCAGATCCCCGCGCCACAGCCGGTGCCTGTGTTCATCCAGCCTTCTCCGCCTCCACCACCACCACCGGCGCCTATGCCTGCTCCACCACCACCGCCAAGCCATATCTCGTCTCACCATGCTTCCCATCACGGCGGCG